TTATTGAAGATTTCTTTCAGTGATTTAAAAGCTATTTCCCCAAGAAGTAACATCAGTTCTATCATTGACATCTTAAACAATTTAATAAAATATTAAAATATTCAAGGTTAACAAACTGATAATTTCATCATACCACCGAATATTAAATCACAACTATATGCATTTCAGAATGATAAAACAATTAGCCGATAGATTGAGTATAAAACTATATATTAGAATATTAAAAGTCAGTCAGCTACAACGTTGGACCAGGCACATACATGCATCGGTCCAAGTTGCCATACCGCATGAGAATAAAATTCCATACATAAACAGTTATGCACTTATAATCAACAATGACACACTGCAGAACTATTGAAAACCAGGATATAACAGATTATTATTTACATTTTAGTTTGAGATTCATCAGCTGCATAAACTTAAGTCAAGACACGATACTAAACAAATACCTTTATGTCTTGTATCAAGAATGTAATTTTTCATTACTTAAACTAAGACCGTATATAAATAAATACTATGTTTGTAATATCCCAATCAGTAGAAAAATTATTAGATTTTCTGATGTTTCGTGACTTAGTGTAAGCCACTTCTTCAGAGAATAAATAACCAAATTAAAATTAACCCAAGTTTAAATAATACAACGGAGCAACACGAATATTATTAATTTGGTTATTTATTGTCTGAAGAAGCGGCTTACACCAAGTCACGAAACGTCAGAAAATCTAATTTTTCTACTCATTGAGATATTCCAAACATATTCGTTTTATTTATAACAATCTACTCAATACTCAATTTATTCGAAATTATCAAATCAAACCTTGGTAATGATATCTATAAGACCGTATATGTTATTAAATTTATAATTCAATGCATTAAACATACACTGATTTGTAATGATTAGAATGTTTCACTTATCTTGTAAATAATAATCTATTCTAAAGAGCTGAAAAGCATTTTATATCAACAGTCCTATCAAAATAAATGTAGGCATTATATTCAGTATAAGAATATAATGGTACATAGAAAAACTTACCTGCGTTCTCTATTTATATATTCTTCAATTTGATTGGCAAGATATTCAGATGTTGGAAATTATATCATAAGTACATTAGTACAACCTACTAAATTAAAACTAGGTGATTAAACACTATTGTAATGCACTAATCCAAATATTAACTCTTGATATTATAGTGACATTTAGTAATTTTGACAATTGACCTTAAAAAGAAAATCAACCTCAACAAATCAATCATTACGTAATCAAGAATTGTAACCTATAGATGATTTCATGATGGATTGTCATAATTTAATTCCGACTTGTCAAACTTATTGATGGTACATCGTATTTTATCAAACTAATAAGTTGGCAACTAGGTTGATAATTAGATTAATATAGTGAATAAAAGATTGTAAATAAATAAGTACCAATCCATCTAATATTAAACCATAAAAGTTTTTCTTCTGTGATGAAAAAAAAACGATTAAATTGATTGAACAGATTGATTGCCTGATTCGACATGATTGGTACAGTAGAATGATAAATACTTATGAAAACCGACTTATTAACATAAGAGCCCAAAGAATGGATATGAAAACAATATACTAACGGGTCAGAAAATGAAATTAGTTTAAAGTAGCATAAGTATACAAAGATATGTAGAAAATTTAAAATTTACATAGCTACATGATGATAGAATTCGTATTTGATAGATGATTAACAAAGAAATAATCATATGACCCAGTTATTGCCTCTACATCAGGTCGTCTTTCAGAAAAACCTAAATATTCGATAACGTCCAGAAAATACTCAGTGCTCATATATTAATCAATCCACTTTAAATTTTAAGACAAATTAGGTAACTTTACATAAGTACCAAGTAGTTTCGTGATATACACAACACTGATTTAATAAACACCTAAAATAGATAACATTTGGTAAATTGAAGGTAAAATTTGAGTACGTACTTTATAGATCATAGCTTCGTTTATATGATGCAATAAGAGCTTAGCTTCACATCGAATTTGCCAACGTAGCAGTACAATTAATTATGGAGAGGACGGATAGAGAAGTCTTGGTTGTATTTAATTCATACAACTAAGTAATCGAATAGTCAGTATATTTAGCTTTACCGTGTTGTACACTAGGAATATTTTGATGGAGTTTTGTTCTCTGAGCTCAGAGAACAAAACCCATCAAAATTATCCACCTGAACAACAAATCTTCTCCAGTATCTCAACACTAGGAATAATTAGTCGGATGTGTAACTGAAGAAAATGATTATTTGGTTACACTACAACTCCCGTGCACTATAAGTTTGAGATAAGCACTAGTAGATTTGAACGAAGAAATTCGACCGAAAAACCGAAACTGGTGAATATAAAATTGACTGGAACATTAATAAGATATTCGATATACATCCAACAATTAGTGAACGTGTTTTTATGGTCGAATCATAGACTCAAGACTGCATGGTTCTACTGAGAATTAGACCAAATATTTGGATACCCTACATAAATAGAACATTTATCCCAAAGAATTTTACTTGAAAATGTTTATAATTTGATTAAAAACATCTCTGAAGATATAAAATTTACAAGAAAAGAGTCACAAAATAAAGTTTCATTCTTGGATGCCTCAATAAGTAAAGTAAATGAAGGAACACTGCGAACACAAATGTACGGAAAGCTAAGTTACATAGAAAAAATATTAAATTGTAATAGTAAGAACCTACGGTGCGCACTAGAAGAGTTGTGTATAGATACTATTCACAAACCCTATGACTCACTACAGCAGTCTCACTATGCAAAACAAGCCCATCTTATATCTGTCTCCAGTAAAAATGACCACTCCAAAAATTTCATTAAAACGTATCTTGTAGTTCGTCCCTTATAGTAAAACTAACCTCTCAAAGATGACTTTCTCACACGCATGTTAATATTGTTATCGCTACGAAGAGTATGAATTAGGAATGTGGATTATTTTTAAAGAGTCGACTGACTACTGATTTAGTATTAGTAGACTGAAATTTTTAATGAAACCGTAGTGCTCTTTGGATAGGTATCCATTTTGATGAATTTATTCAAAATAATTCGTTGGAATACCAATAGCGGAGAACCTAACATTTAAAAAACTTTAGTATTATCAGAATTCTGGTGCAAAAAAGCCAAAGAATGAACACTCGTCTACAAAAACTACAGAGCCATGATTAAGATAGTTTGGGAGAAGTCAGTTCGGATCTTAAATACTTAGTGATTGTTCTACGATAATGGACGCCTTAATAATCTTTTTCCTTTCTCAAGCCTAAATATCGAACTTTTCCAATGGTAAAATCTGATGGAACAACTTAGCAGAAAACATTGGGTCATTTATTTCTTCATATGATTGAATCATTTGAGAAATCTTTAATTGTCAGACTCCAGTGTTCTGCTGAGAATATTCAAGATTTCTAGGATTGACCAAGTAATCGAGAGATATCCAACTAAAATCGGGAGTCTTGTCATATGCTGTGTCACCATCTAACTTACTAGAAGAATACAGAAACCCCCCTTGCTAAAAGCAGTTAACATGTAGTCAAGTGAAGTATCTAAAGAGAATTCAACGATATACGACGATGGTAGATTTGACTAAAGGAACAGTAAATATTCTGTAAACCACTGACCATAAACTTCAGGTAACACGACTGGCAAGAATTGAGCCTGATGCTCATAACTTTATTGGTCGAATAGTAAGTGGCCTACGAACTGATTTCCTTCAACCACCAACGTCAACTTATTTCTCGTATTAATATTTTGCACATTATTATTATTACACTACCTTACACTAATCCGTTCGTTATTTTACTTTTTTTCTTCGAATTCTGATTGTTTTGTGTGGCGCATATATATTTGGTGCCCTCTTGTACCAATATTTATGTGTTCAAATAAGTAAATTTTGTACATAGGTACATCATTTTATTGCATTAAAAGAATTCTTCATGGTGGTGCCCTGTACTTGACCTCAAATTACTAAATAACTCGTGTCACTAATTTGGTCTTGTGAACAAGCATCACTTAGTCACATTATAACACTGCATATCATCGATTGAAGCTCTATTTGAACATGTAGATAACGAAGTCCTGTTTGATGAGAGCGATGAAACAGTCCAAAGACCTTTAAAATTCTTAATTAACAAAACAACAATGGTTAGGATTTGTTTCGGTCTCTTTAAATGTAAATTGTTATTTTACGATTGGTCAGTACTTATACATGGCCTAACCACAGGAAGTGAAGTAATTGGGTTATAAAATTACTATACAGCTAATACCTGACCTAAGAGGTACATAACAAACGTAAGTTTTTAATACCCAGTTATAAAACCCTTCAAGGCATTACTCGCAGATGAGATCACCAACTGATTAGTAGTGAGATTCACGAAGTTGTGTACGTTCATAAAACAAGGCAATTGTTACATAGTACTTAATACCAACCATCGCCTATCCCTATCTACAGATTTCCTGGTATGAGAAAACTAGTAGTGACCAAATTAAGACTAAGAATCAGTAGATGAAGCCACTGAGTGTTAGACTGAAGCCTGTCGAGAGATTAGGCTCAGAGTGGTGTTACTAATTAGCCGTTCAGCGATATGGCATACAATCAGCTGCATTAACACAGATCCACTCATTCTTTATATGCTCCTACATGAGTAATAATATTATTTCACACTTTATGCCCACCAAATCATTACTATTTATCGAATTATATTTCCTTTGCTTAGTCTTTTTCATAATAAAATATACTAACATTACTTCGACTACCATGCCATTTATCCTACTAACTTCATGAAGCTATGCTAATGTAAAGTGTGGTAACTTGGACCAATACAAATTGACCCAGGTTCTACGTTTTCATTGAATGCATTTAAAAATGTGGATCCATTCGGATTCCTTATGATGTGAAATAAAAATTCATCACAAACGATGTAATTAACAAGAGTTGTATTAGTAAATAAAGTGGAAACAGTTTAACTTCTGCATAATAAATTATTCCAGTTGATCTTACTCACATTGGGCACATAGCGTATAGTTACTGAAACACGTTTACCACGATGACATAACTGTGAGTGAATACTTCCCGAATCGCTAGCAGTCCAATTATGAATAACAGCAGCATTTTCAACCGATTCCTCAGGACGTTTCAAACAGTCTTCATAATTTATTAATAAGTCAGTTGTACGTTCAGTAATCCCATGCATATAATGTGTATACATTTTTTCAGTAACAATATTTAAGCTACGAGGTTTCAAATAAACTGAGCCAATATAACGATCATTAAATAACGTCGATTTTGTTTGCTATAGGAAAATATGATTATACTAATATAAATAGTTACTGGGTCTGCAGAAGTATCCAACGGCTCATAAAAGTCCAGAATTCCATAAGAATTCAGATTGATTGTAGCAACAACAGGATAGTAAAGTGGTCCATCATGATGAGGCTATTGGAATTAATTTTAAAAACATGAAAAATTAAATTCAACACAGTGATATCAGTAACTTTGTAAACATTGATTTACTGGAGTAAGTCTCACCTTCGGAACAAAAGCAAAAGAAATTTAATCAGGCTGAATATATGGATAGTGTGAAGTTTAACTAGTACCCAAGAAAAAGTCATAATCCAACTTTGCTGAACTTAATTATAACTTAAAGGTGGCCAAAATCGTAAAACAGAAACTGAATAGCTTATTACTAGGTCGGAAATATGTTATACAATGTAACTTTGGGCCCATCAATTAAGTTTATGCACTCTTAGAAATGGATATCACGTTTCGTGACCTAAAGTACTTCTTTAAAGGAAATAAGTAACTGAATTAAACCTAAGTTTAAAGTTGTGTCATAATTATTGTGATATTACAAAAACATCATTATGCATATGTATTGGATATATTCGTCCACCTATTTATTTATCCTATCCATTATTTGGTTTTGTAAATCAAATAACTAATTGGCAAGCTGATCGATTTTCCGACCAATCCAAATAACATAAGATTCAGCTCTCAAGTTAAAAATTCGCATACTGTACGATTCGTCGACATTCATCTTCCTCATTGCCGATTAGTGTGTGTAGAGTATGAAATATCCAACGCATTTCGTATTTAATCTCTAAAATCACGTTATTAGTTGAACTTGCTACAAAACAGGCTAAGTTTAAGTCTAAATGTAAAACTGACTCAGAATCTAGAACGACTAGAAACATATGTGTTTACATATATTATGTTATTTTACCCAGATAAACCCAAGAATGGCATTTATTAGGCCATATGATAAAAGAGCAAGGAAAATTAGAGTCCATTCTCTGAATAGCTATATATAAGATGATACAATTTGAACTTATCAGGCTTACAATCACTTAAGAACTGCCATCATGATATTTAGTAACAATCTATGCTAAATATGCTGTCTTGTAGGTCAATTCTATATTAACATTGTATTGTCAAACGCTGTTCATTAGAATTAAAAAACATGAGCCAGACAACTAACATTTCATTTATTTTGGTGAATATTTAAATGCTTCACCATATATCTCGAGGAATAAAATCATCACGTTACTCATATTAACATTTCAAAAAAGAAACAAAACGGTATAAGATTTCGGGACCAGGAGCTAAAGAGAAAAAGTAGATGTCTTTATGCCATTGTGAACAATTCAGGGTCTGACCAGTGATTACGATAATTGAGTGGACCCCAACCATGTAATCTACATCGATTTACATGGGTCAGTCCAACAGTCAAATACTTTACAGACGAATGGTATGTTTTTGTTTAACCACGGACAGATTTCCGGCCTTCTCTCATATCATACAACGTCGCCCGTCAACGTAGTTGGTGGTTAGGCATACATAACACCCAACCACTTCAGTTGAAGAATCATCTCGCCCACGTCACAAGTGGAAAAAGTTGGCAAAAGGCAACTGAGCTTTCTGAATACGTGTCAATATTTCATACGACAGCAATGGCATATGGTAATTGAACGCTTAAAAAGTAAATAATGAATGCGATTGCTATTGTGTGATTGATTTTGATCAATATTAGGCTGTAAATAATCAAGAAGACAGATGAAATAAAATTTACAAAGGATTTTGAGGGAAACAATTAAAGTCAATGATGAACGTAATTTTCATGTTTTAATAATGAGATTAAGTAAAAACATTCACTTACAAATATACCTTGTCCTGGTTCATATTCATTCACCAAAACATGATTCGCCTTATTGTTGTTGTTATTATCAAATAAACACAATTCAGAAACACGATCCATGTACTTCTGTAGCCACTAAATAGACTAAATTGTTAACTCATTCATATGAATTAAAAAACCTGTGGAACGTTTTCAACTAACATTCCTTTAACATGAGGAATACCACCCCAATTTTGCAAGCGTCTACCACGTAGAGAAACCCACTTCGGTAATGGGGCAGAATAAATATGTTTTAGTAGTTCTTGTTCTTCTTCTTCATTGATAAAATCTGGCAGATAAAGAATATTTGGTGGTAATGTTTTGACGCAGTAACTGTCTAACAATCTTAACATAACTACCTATATTCAATAAACACAATATAAAAATGAATTTGCTGAAACTAAAAGAACATTAAGTAGAATAAAATGGATTTTATAAAACCTTGTGGTTAATCTAAGAGTTAAAAATATATAGTGGGCACAAGTATCAAAGAAGACAAATAATATATTAAAATGAAAGGTGAAACCTAAACTAAACAATAATTGGCAGAATAGCACCTCGATCACATTATTTCATATTAGAAACTGAAGACGTTGTACACTATTCAATGATTAAATGGCATTAAACCATTCCTGAAGATATGTTAACATTCATTAGATCCTGATAATTTTCAAAACTAATAGATAACATCTATATCTTGAAAAACATCAGTTTTCAAGAAATATTTTGTAAAGTATCTTGAAAATAAACATATCGAAGATATGTCTTTAATATATGTTGAGGTTTCCGGATAGTGTTGTACAAAATTCCACTTTTGGGCTGAAATCTCGATAAATTAGGGAAAACTGCAAACGGCAGCACTTAATTCCGACTTTTTTAGTTTACATAAGCAAAATCACAGCTTTGCTGAAATTTTGCGGACACCCCGATCAAAGCCAGTGGAAGAAAAAACTACTACTTTTCATGAGACTGACGTTATCTTACATAGAAATCACAAAACGAATACAGCACAGTTGGCGAAACATGAAGCTCCTAGGTACGGAATAAATTATGCCTTTCAATCAAAAATCACAACAATCTCAATTACTTTTTTATTTAAGATCATAGTTAATTACATACTCCGAGATCAAACTTCCGACTTTATTTCACAATGTCATTCTGGCACTAAGAAATGAAGTCTTTGTTTTGGGCTACTTTTACAACCTAACACCATTCAGCTGAGTTTGGTTACGGTTATAACCTTTAAATAGTTCAGCTTATGCAAAGTTTATATTTCTTTTAAACAATTATATGGGAAGTACTGAGAGATGAATATAAGCCAAGTGTCAAACTTAAATGGGCTGTCGTTGGTAGGCCTTTTGTAGAAAACCGAATAGGTTAAAAAAAGTTTGAAAAGCAGGAGTCGGCCACGAATAAAAGTCCTCATCAAAACCGTTTTTGTGAAGCAAGAGTTTTGAAGTGTTGCTTCGTAAGGATCTCTCTATGAAAAATCCTTGTAACCTTCCAAAGCTAGAAAGGATTTTGAAACTTTGTCGAAGTCCCACTAAGACTCTCAGACAAAATCCAACTAAAACCCTAAATTTTCCCCTGGTCTGCAGTTTTTCCTCGAAATTCCAACTTATCTTGGGAAAAACCTCAAACGTTGCGGAAATTTTCGAGTTTCGCTTAATATTTCCAGAAAAATTTCCACAGACCAAAACCCTGCGGTCAGTTCGTAAGTTGAAACCATTTTTTTATTGAAATAAAGATGACAAAACTGCCGGTGATCATCAAGAGCAATCTTTGTAAGTCCGTGAAGATGATTTCGGTCTACATAATGACGTCAGAACTGGTGAGTACACCACATGGAACTAAAACAAAAATGGATACAATTGGTTACAGATTCCACCGGACAACTCGCAGTAAGTCGAAATCAGAGCAAACACTTTTGTCAGATGTTCTGTGTTCCGTATTCGAAAATGCTACCAGTCAGGAAAACGATATTATATGAACGTTGGGTACCGCGAGCTAGGATTTCTTACAAGACGTAACAGATAAAAAAATAAGCGTAGGGTGTGACCCAAAATAGCGTAAACATAAAACAATAAAAGTGCGTTATTGCATAGATATATATATGCGTTCGTATATTTCGTCCATAGGTTTATGTAGAAACTACTGTACATCTTCACTTTCCAGATGGTTTCAAACGTACCCATCGACGTCACTGTAATTTATTTTCGTACGTATTATCTTACATGACCTTTTGTAACACATGTACACTTCTTACAGACATTTGCTGTGTGTATTCAGTCAGAAAAACATAAGAGCCAGGTTTTAAATGCTTCATTATATTAAGTAAAATTCTTTTCCTGGAGTGTCATTGTAGACCCATTCCACTGAAATAGTATTTATATTAACTTTATATTGGTTGCATTGCAAACTAACATTTTAGCTTCTTAAGAACATTGCGGATGAAAGTTGAAACTAAATATATGTTTGGTTTCTGAATGTAACCTACATGAAGAAAAAAGGCAGCTCCTGGAAAATGAATATATTTTCACTTCGGTTTACTATAGAATATTATATATTATATGTTAGTCTTGTAATTATAGAGAAGCATGAACATATTATAAGTTATTACAAGCGTCCATGACGTGTGACTACTTTGATGTCATTGAGGTTGCATATATCATCTTTTAAGGAATATTTACTTAGTTGTTTGCTGTCGAACAGTTTTACAAGCAAAGTGTTTCTGATATTATACAGCAGTATATTTCCCCTAAAGTCGGTGTAAATTCTAGGGGAATATTAGAGAACCCCAAAATTTACAAATCGAGGAGTTCCCTAAAGTTTTGGAGAAAACCCCAGGTCAGGGGAAATTTTACTTACATCTTTCTTGAGAATTTTAGAAGGATTTTGACAAATTCTTGAAATCCTCTCTAATTCTTGAAAAATGGGTATGTTGAGATGACTGAAATTTATCACTGCGATTCTCCCTGACTTACCAAGATTTTTGACCATAAGTGGGACTTTACATAACAGATCCGCGAACTTCTACAATTAATACAATTTTCAACAATATCTAATTTGGATGTTTCAACTAATTAGTTACTATATGGTTAAGGAAATAAAAAAGGAAGTTTCTCATAGGATTTACACGAGGCCTTTCGATTTTTATGGAAAAGTTAATACTAACAGAATTAGTAAACTGTAGTAAAGTATATTCCCCAGTTCTGACCAGTGGACCAACCAAATTCGATGGGCAACGCTTTAGTGGATCGTTCACTGTTGAAGATTGCTGAGCACTTGAAGGTCAAGCGGTCGTAAAACGATTGGTGCGTCACCTCGACAATTTGCAAGGTCTTACAGAAGCGGTCAAATCAAGATATTTTTAGATTTGAATTGAGTTCAGCCACACTATATCTGATAACGTCCGTCCTTCAAGTAACGAAAACGATGCCATCGTGATAATGCATGATATAGGACGAATCTTCAATGATATGTTGTCGCGACGATTTACAGGTCCGGATAATTTTGAGACCTCTTTGAAAGAAGTACATAAGTTAATATGACTTCTTTGGTTGTTAATTATTTTCGCAGTATACGCACATTCATGTAAAAAGTATTATAGTCAATCGCACTACGAGTATTGGTCAAGTGCGTGACCTAGCGTCCAGTTGGACGATGGTTCGAGTACGTGTGTGATCTGTGCTTCTGTTATCGAGACTCAAACTGATCTCCGAAGTTTGGAGTATTTTGGGGAGACCCACAAACTCAAATGACCTTCACCAAAGTTTGGGTAAATCTTGAGGAATTCCCCCAAGTCAAATGACCTTGTAGATCGCCAGTCTAGATGATCTATGTCGAATGGTCGGAGGCCTACTCGAGTTAGACGGGAATGGTGTGACGAACCAGCTAACGTCGGAGTCACACCTCGTGGTCAGCACCTTACGTGGACTACTATAAGCGTTTTGAAGACTGCACAACACAGATGACGTTATTACAGAAATATATTAATTATAGTAGATACAAGCGAAAGTAAAACCACTGCCGCATAGGCCGGTCCATGGTGTACAATTAACTGACGCGCGTTGTTTATACTTGACCTTGACAGGGAACGATGATCGTTTCGATATTCATTGACTCAACCGCTAGAAGATTTAGCCAGGGCTTAATGACATTTCACCGGCCCTACAACCTTTACCAAGATTAAGGGAAAATTTTGGGGGAATATTGGGGAATGTCTCTAGGTTTGGGGAAGTTTCGGTGTTTTGGTGTCATTTCCTCAAAGTTTACTATAGCGGCTTCCCAAAATTTGACAAAATGGGTCGAATTTTCCCCAGAATTGTGAGCTCGGGATATTCATACGATGTTCTCTAAGTGTAAGTTACTCAGACACGAGAAAGAAAATAAAAGAATGGGTTAGTACACCAAAGTTTCGCAACAAGCCACATTGGAACGCTAGTTGTACGTTGTCTTAGATAAAATTCACTACTCAATCTGTTTTAAATTAAGCTTGAAAATCAATACAGCTCACATGGGACCATCAAGAATGATGCGCTGTACGATGTTTTCAGTCAACTAAATAGTAATAAGTTGATAAAAAGAGTGCTGGTCAGGGAGTACACCTGCTGTAGACAAGTCGAGTATAACTTTCAAACCATTCCTATGATAATGGTCGGGACCTTCAGTCAACGTTTGTATGAATACGTCAGTGATACTTTCAGTTTGCAGGAGACTTGTCTGACCGATTTCAGTGATAATTTGCTTAAGTGGCTGCCGTCAAACCTCTAGTAAAACTGATAACGTTCGTAGCACTTACTAAGAGACCAACTGACTTGAAAATTTCTCGAAACCATCAGTGTTAGGTAAAGATAAATTCGAGAAGACAACACTATTTGTGATAATAGTTGTTGTTTAGATTATCGACTAATTTAGTTTTAGTTTCATGGCTTAAATCAACCATATTACGTGATTGATAATTTGAAACAAAGCTTTATGAGGATGTCGGAAAACAATTAATGATGGCTACTTATAATTTTTATTTGATATTGACTTTGGGGAAAAATTGATAGCGTTGTTATAGATTTCGAATATTTTCAATAGTTCTCCAAGTGCAGTTTACACAACACTCATCACAGTCGAAGATTCTCCATTGAATTGTAACTCAGACACGCTGTTGTGTTTTATTATATTTATGTTTAGTCGTTGGATTGTTTGGAATAAAGCAGTCATGCACATTTATTATAAAAAACAATGTAACCCATATACGCTAAAAGAAAGCGATCGGAAGAGGGGCGCGTGAGATTTATTAAAGACTATTATTATTTTCGTAATTTGTGTTAAAGTGTGACAATAACAGTGCGTACAAACAACATTCATTTTTCGTTTTTATTATTTGAACAAACATACAAAGTCTAATAAGCCAAAATTTTGTTACATGCTTGGCTTAAGACAAAACTTTAAGTGTACTGTCTTGAATAATCCGTTTCGCTTATCTGACGTTTTGGTCGCCTGTGTAGAATTATCGTTGATACTTGTCAAATCTGTAATTCCTTTATAAGACAATAGGTTTGACAATAGGTATAATAGTTCATGGAAAAGCCTATCTTCGTCTATCAATACCCACTGAGTCGGTGTCTCCCTGTTTTGTACTAAGAAATATTTCGATTTTCTTCGAACATCGTTTCGGCTGTGAATTCAGTTATCGATTTGGCTGTGGGAAACGTTGTGAATCTATCTATGCATGTCAGTAGATAATACAAGCCATTAGAACGTAGTAAAGAACCTACCAATTCTGTATTAACGCAGGCAAACTGTGCATCTGACTTTCAGAAAACTCAGATAGAAAAATTTGTGTGACGGTTAACCTTTGATTTCGGGCATACCAAACACTCTTTAACCGAATCGTGTACACTATTTTGTAAATTTGACTATATGTATCTGGCATTGATTAGTCTGGTAGTAGCCTTTGTGCATAGTTTTCAGGGTCGAGGCATCGCCTTCTTCGTGTCCCAGTACATGAAACTGCCTTCAGTAGGTGATGGTTCTTTGCTGCAAATGGATTTGCAATTCTTGATACCGTTTATGATCGTCTCGAAACTTACTGTAGATTGTTGTATTGTTTTCATTTCCATCCGAAATAATGCATTTCCCGCCCGATTGTCTACCTTTAGATATCCTTTAAATAAACTTAACGTATTGACCAGACACCGTCTTATGTATTCGATCTTAAGCTACATTGTCTTTGTAATGGCTAGTACTACACCAGTCGCCTTCATTATTTGGACCATGTGTAGAGCGAATGCCCACTGGCTGTCAGAGAGACAAACAATACACAGCCGTATTATGTAGTCAAATCCGACTCGAGCTATTTTAAGTTAATCCACTGATATTCTCCTGGTTCTAATAAACACAGTTGCACCTTCTGTTCAGATCTTATGACTTACCTTTAATTTACTTTTTAAAGTCTGAGGGTTCGGTTTGGTTAGGTGTGGAAATTCCGCGAGTATATCATGGCATTTCCCAGTTGTTACTGACGGAGTTTGTATCAAATTAAGACAAATAATACGACTTTCTTTGCTATGGGGTACACGCAGGTGAATCGGCTCGTAAACTTGAACTCTAGCATCAAAGCTTTCTGCCCAGACATCGCGATCCTATTTTTGTTGGTATTTTTTAGTGTAACTGGGGAAATTTGTCGGCTTAGCTAAGTTTCTATCCGAAGAATGATACCAAAACGTTCAAACTCGAATACATTCTTCTGATATAAAATAAGCGACCGTTTGGGAAGCCCTCCTTGGCCGTTTAGACCTATGAAGCGGTTATTCTATATTCCTGAGAGCCTCATTACGCTATGAACAATGTCGACTGCACAGGGTTGACTTCGCACGAAACTTCCAGTAGTACCAACAGGACTATCCAGACTGTCTGAACGAATGTGATCTGCTCTGAGACTTGTGTCTCGGTGGCTGGGTTGACCTGCTCTTATCTCTATTGTTCATTTGTATTTTAGCAACAGACTTCATTAAAATATTAACACTCGCAATTATTTCTGTTATGACAGGGTCTTTTGACAATTCTTTTTGTGTATGATGTATTATACGTGATCCAGTGAGAGGGCGTCATTCCATTATTCTAACTGCAGTTTTAGTGGTTGGAGTAGATCTTTGCTCAAATCATGTGACAGGACAGTTGAAGCGCTAGTTTTTTTTTAAGCGCAGTTTCCAACACTCAATTCCGGCTAATGGAGAGTGTAATTTCACTGAAATTATGAACCAACCAATCTTGACCCAAATTTACTGGACGGCCGTTCCTTTCTAATAGGAGACTCAGCAGCGAGTATTCACAATCTCATATGCGGCATTTGAACTCAGTACCTTTCACTTCGCTCGAATGGTCAGCCTCTAAACCAATTTCTAACTTCAGACAATCCACGATGTCCTGTTCCCCTCAATTTTACTTAGTGGTAATCACTTACTAACTGTGGTAAGATCATCTGATCTACTATCTGCCGGTTTGAAGACTAGTACAAAACATGTCAGATAGAAAATTGTCACAGCATAAACTAAAGTCACTGGTTGAGTGAATGTGCAGGTGATCGTTAGAAGTTAACTCTAACAAGAACGCGATAATGCAAATAAATAACCACGATGATTCATATCATTACACAATATGTGGAGCTGTATTACATGGGGTAATTGACTATAAATATTTATAAGTCATACCAATCAATGACCTCAGAGCTGCGGGTGACTGATAGGCTGCCGCTGCCAAAAACTTAATTATCCTATGGGCTACTTGTGAGTCATTTCATTACTTGGACAAAGAAATATTTAAGGTACTAAACTGGCTTTTATAGGGCCACATTTAGAATATGGGATTCTTTCTGCGAATCCTTTATGTAAATATGAAGCGGATACGACAGAGTTCTATAGAGAGGGAACAAAAAAATAATAAATCCATCTGCTCCATCTGATGGAAGCGAAATGCGAAGCCTGAACTTACTACAGTTATCTTGCCACAGGTTACGGTGTGATCTAATACTGGCTTAACATATATTGAACGATGAACCTGGTATTCATCTGTCTTATCTTTACCCTTCATCTAAGACTGACCATCGGAGGGTATATTCTGAATAACTTCAGAAGGTTAGATCAAACTGTTTACATCCGGAGTTCTGTTTCCCTCAACAAAGGAGTGAGTTACTGACATTCTCTACGAGAACACGTGATATCACCACTTTCCGTTGATATTTTCAAAAAGAAATTTTATCTTCACAGTACTACAGACTGCAATGATTAATATAGGTCGATTGACCTTTCCTTACATCTAAAACCGAAGGTGTTTGAATTCTCTGCATTCAGGGTCATTGACATTGTGACTGCTTAAATGTCGTGAATTATGACAGAAGGTGACCAGAAAAGCACCATAAAATATTTGCGTTTCGTCTTAGATAACTGTAACGAAAATAATGTGTACCTAGTTTTCGATCAGGTACATAATTCACTCCGGTCCTTATTGCTTAGGAAAAAGTATGCAAACCTTTCCTAAAACATTAATTCCAGGAAATTAAAAAATGATGAAGTCGAGTCCATATATAGAACATATAGTCATCTGTTCGAAATTTCCGCTAACGTTGATAGATCTAAAGCCTGTGTTGAATTCCTGGACGACATGAGTACTGTTTTGTACCTGATCACAACTGAAAATCCTGACTGTAAATTATGGTCATTGTTGTCTGAAGAATGTTGTCTGGCTTTTACTTCAGCACTAAAAACCTTGTTTTCGTCTATAAGATACAAGCAAGTTTCTAACTTCCTTAATTATGTAGTGAAGTAATGTCAGTTACTGCACCAGAATGTCTGCCGATCATCAGTCACATCTGCTCCTTCTTATTAGATTTGAGCGAATATTCCAAGAATCGCAATGTATGCTGCAATTCACTTAGTACTTTGTCGCTTATCGCCCTCCCTGTAAATGCTTTTCATGCGGTGAATGATGACGCTGATGATATACTCAAAGGTCATCTCGCCAATTCGTTAAAGAGCTTCTTACCAGGATTTTCCCAATCATTCTACAGAATTATAACCGCCAATCATAAGGTGTGGTCAAGTATCAGGGTGGTATGTGCAGTACCCATTATAAATTAATCCATTCAGGCTGCATTCAATGCTTGGTCTTCCATACTAATTTCTGTTTTTCAAAACGAACCTGGTTCTAATAACGTGCAAAAGAGTATGTTTCACTGTTCTAAATTCCACTTTATGTATATCATATCCCTTAAAGTCAGAAGTATATCGTAAGGAGGATAAAAAGTCGTTATAAAGTTTCATAGATATATGCAAATGAGTTTTTTTGTTGGATGTATCCTAAAATATATTAACCATTTTTCAACACTACCTGTATGTAAGGATCTCACTTAAAAGACTGGTCTTCCACCTCCAAATCTTGTTATATTTGAAGGCAATATTAAGAAACATCAGTTAAACAACAGTAATCAGGTTAGCAAAATAACACATCAACTTATGTACTTCATGGTGGTCGCATATTAGTGTGTCCAGACTAACTTGTATCGTTTCTTATCGTCGTTACTTTACATAGATGTACCTTAAAGTCATTCTTATATATTATAGTAGATCACTTTTTAAGGTAATTGTCATATCCTGATAAGAATAATGAATGGTAACTCTTGGGATCCATTTATGGACCAATACTAAACGTATATTTTTATCGTATAATTGTTAAGTAAATAAACTGTACATATTCATATTCCTCTTATTATAAGCTTTATTTTGACCCATAAACTATTATTATATGTTTTACCATTCTTGAGTTATACCCAGTATATTAATTACCACCTCTCTCATTCACAGTCACATCTGGCTAATTCTTGTACAAATGTTGTTTCATATTTTATTGGTACGTTGTGGTCTGTTTGATTGGTATATAAACTCAGTATGTTTGAAATACAAGGATTCATATTGGAGAGGCTGAGATTGGTGTTCTGGACTGAGCTGGGCTGGGCTAGGCGGGCTGGCTGGTTAGGGCTAGGCGGAAAGCAGGATCAATCAGGACTCTAGGCTGCTCGCATGTGTTTTATGCGTCACTGGTTCGATCGATAGTTCATTGCTCTCTGATTAACGGTATCGTTGCGTTATACAATAAACAGAGCACACAGGTTCACAAGTTGTAACAGTAATCACAAGGATTCTGTCAAAACTCCAGTTTTTTAATCTTCGATTTAATTCAGCAACGTACTCTTGTTTCTTAATATTGAAACGTCCTATAGAAACTATTGGGACTCCGATAATCTTAAGCTTCTAAGGACAAGCTGACCATGTCATTCTGAACTCTTTAAGTTAAAACTTACTGTTCAAATCATACTAATGACCATATGAATATTTGCTTGAGTTATTTATCAAATAGAGTTATCCTCTGGGTATTTTTCTCCAAAGTTTCGATTTCAAATTCCTTAGCTTCAATGTGAACCTACTTTTCAAGTTTCTCTGGCCAGTAGTAAATCATTTGCAAATAATCTACATTTCTCCCGAAATTTTTGACTCATTTTCTCTAGGGCTTGGTCCTGGCCCAAACAACTCTACGCATGCATATAACGCTTGTTTATTAGACCTACTTCCAAACGTTACTTATTTTCATACAGCGGACCGTCTTCTCTGTCATAACGAAATCACCAGACTATTTCAATGAAAATACTTTTACCTTAAAGTCCTACAGCTCCAGTCGTGTCGTCTGGATAGCTTTAAGACTAAAAGCAGCAAGCAATAAAATAGACACCAGGGTTTGAATAAGGTCAGAGTTAAGTAGCATCAATTTAAAAAATCACTGGCTGTTCAAATTTTCTGAGAAAGTACATACCTTTTAGTTCGAGTTGTGGTTTAGGATTTTGGACAGGTTATATGGCCCCAAATCGATCATGTTTGCGCATTTGGATTTTTCAAATCCTGAGCGAAGTATTACGGAAATTTCGTTCCTCGACCTTTTCTTGTCCTGTTTGAATTTTATTTTTCAGAACGGACGTTTCATCCCACTTGATATTTCTTATTCTTTGCTTCTCAGATTATTGGGTTATCCTTCTGGGTTGAAGTGAGGTGTAACAACTTGAACGGAATACGTATTCTTAAAAGGTCTAATATGACCAGATAAACTGCCTTATGCTGTATTAGATTTTAGTGAACGAAATACGTCATTGTTTCGTAACAATTTGGGTTGGAAATTTACGTGAGGTTCGTGTTTCACTTTAGAGAGCGCTTTTTCCGTTACCATACGTTTCGTGATTGAAGGGATGTTAAAATTTGGCGAACAGCTATGAAATATGAATGAACGTTGTTCAAGTTTATTATTGTACAAGTTGTTTTTCCCAGTTCAGCTATCGGAATAATGTATGGTAAATTCGCAGACTGCTAACATTCTATCGCCTTTGTTTTCGAATCATTACTCTTATTTGGTGGAACAACTAAATGGGCGGTCTAGAATTTAAACGAAGACTGCTACTTGGAATGCCAAGCTTGTTGATGAGTTAATGAGTCCTCATCGACTATGGTGGATTGTACTTGTGTTACATAAATGGGACCGATGCCTAGGCCGATGTACAATGCTATCCTACACAAGATTAGCCTAAGGAAGAGCTAGGAGCGGCTAAGTTAAAGCGTGACTGTTGGTCTAAACTCACTCGATAAGTGTACACTGCCTAGTTAGGATCCGCGCGATAACTGTGTCCATTGTTAGAAAACCCTGTGTAAAGTAACAGTGACACATGCATCTATACTTTATCTTCCGTTAGGTTTTGAGTTATTTCACTCCAGAAACTCATACCTTTTGAACCATACTCCATATATTTAGTCTTAATACCATTGATAATCTTAAGTATAAGTGGATGGTGGTTAGCAGGGATGCTAGTTGTCATCCACCTCGGCTTAAAATGCTTGTGATTTAACGGCAATATTAAGGCACATATGCTTAAAGAGACTGTTAAGTTGTGGTCCTAAACGTCAATCATAAGATCTAAACAACCAGTATATGTATAAACTATTATTTATATTATTTTGATTCCCCCTCGTTCCAGCTTGTTAAGTTCATTTCGTCATCCTGACGTGTTGTGGCAACCTGGGCTGATTCACTGTTGTGTCACTTTAAATTAGTTGTGAATGGCTAGTTGACAACAACTTTGCCCATCGATTGGTCCTATCGTAGTATAGCTTTCAACACAGTCAGATATCACAGAGTTTGAAGAACACGTAATCTTGTAATTTAATTTTATCATTAAACTTTATAACTGTTAATAGTTGTTTTCCGATTAGTGATGAAGATCTGGTTTGATTATGAATGAGTTAATTCCGCATTCTGTTAGAGGTGTGTTTTGATTGTTTGTTATCAACAAAAGCATATTTTATTTCGTTTTAGCAAAGTCTACAAAAGAGTGCGAGCATTTTACTTCCGAGTGGTTCAAAACAACTCAATCTCACATAACGTCTTTGGTCTCAAAAACTATTGATAGTGTAATTCACACTCAGCTGGAGCTAGATGTAGAGAGAAATGTACGACTATCTGCTGCGTTTACACACTGGCTGGGTGTATTACTACTAAAATGTCATTCACTGATCAATATTAGAGAAAGTCAGCACCTTAGATACACTGTAGTTTCTGGTCTGCTGATGTTAGCTTCACAGTCATCTTTAAGAAATCCGATATCAAACCAAAGTTCTCTCAAAGAAAGTAGTCTTCTGGCCCAAAAGTTATTGAGTGATTTCACCACAATTCATGAAGGGGATGTGAACTCTCTTGTAGTTCCTAAATCACTTACCAATCTTTTCGGTCATGAATTAATAAGAAAGGCTGCTTTTGATTCTTTAACAGAACAAGTAAACTTTCTTTTGAGTCAACTACTCAGTCTCCTAGGTAAGTTTAAGTATAAAAATTCGCTTTCAACTTGCAATAATTTCTGACACTTGTTAGGCTCTATAATTTTCATTTTAAAACCGGAATTATGTTCGAAATTACTACTTTTGGGGAACGTCATTCTTGCTCGTTAGATTATTCTGTTTTCGTCTTTGAATTGACATCTTAGGCTTCCTACATTTCATTGAATCACAATATACACGACCGATCTTGAGAATTGTTGACCACGCAAAAATGTATGTAGTAATTTTTAGTTCGCGATTGTTGGATTTGACTGAAAAACACAAACTATCTTAATACCGACGTTAAGTAGAGTTCAACCCATAACTATGTGTTTTGCTTATAAGTACCTAACCAATGTGACTGAAATGATAAAGATCGTGTAGCAGTAATGGAGGTTTACTATATGTGGTTTTATACTTCATCGGTGGACGCTCAAAACCCATTTTAAAATCAGCTTGAGGTTCTCAGTTGCCGTAGTTATTAAATTGTAATTTAAACCAACGAATTAATTAGTTATAAAATAATTTTTTCCCCGAGTTATGCTAACATGGTGTCACTTAGGTCGAAAGATGCTATCAAGTTCCTACTTGATTTCTTGTATTTTTTTACATGATTCTTATATTCTCAACTATTGGATTATATCTTCTGCCCACTGATTGTCAATCTAAGAATGTGCAAGTTTTCTAGTTAGGGTAACCAAAATATCTGTTCATTGTTTTTACTGATGCACATTTGTGCTAGGCTTCCTGTTGTTTACCCCATTATCTGTTTACTGATTATCACCGACAGTAATCTGAAATGCATAAATTCATTGATAATTAACACAGTGGTCCTTAGTTAATGTTCTCGAGTCTATCTAGTAGATTTCAACATCTCTTTTGTGACTCAGATGAGATTCTTACTGAGGAATGAACAATTAAAACCAATGCCGAATTTTATTGGGATTTTTCAAGAGATATTATCGGATAGTTATAATTTTATGATTATTAACAATACTCCACCTCAATCATTTCAGTACCTAATGTCAGATCATTTTATCAGTGAGCCCATTTCAATCTACTTCGGCTTGTCAGACAGGTAATACAGTAAATAATAGCATAGCATACGTAACCTGCAAATTAATGCATAAGCTTTTACAATATTACCTTATCTAACTAATTTTATTGATTTCTGATTGCTGACTACATCTATAATATAAATATCAGTTAATATTGTCTTCTAATTGACTAATTTTCAGATGAATCACAACTACAGAAGCGTTTAAGAACAATCCTTGGCCACCTAAATGTTCTGGGTAATTCAAAATTGTCCATGTTTTATATTTAACCTAATACGGCTGATAGATAAAGTCCCATAACTACAGTATTTTTATTTCATTCATCCTATTTGTTCCTTAAATACCCATGTCGACACTATTTATGAGAAAGTGTAAGTGTAACACTTTCATGACAATTAATTGCTAGTTTTAAGATTGACACCCTGTTTTCTCGTTTTTAATGAATCAAAAGCCTAGAAAATTACTTGAAATACAATAGTATCACATGTTTTATTTGGAGAATAGCCGTGAACAGATGACCATACCATCCAGACTTATGCAATCTGTTTCTACCTTAAATTATTTTCAATGATGCACAACAAATGATCCCCCTAAGGAATTCCAAAAACTAACTCATTGTTACTGTTTACATGCTATTCATCATAACTGTAAGGATTCTAATCAGTTGTATCCAGTAAATCGTCTCACAATAATTATCAAGAAACCCATTAAGAATGCATGTTTACTTTCATGCAAATACAATTTTTTATAAATAAATTAATATACTTGTAATATCCCAGTGAAATATTACGAGTATATTAGTTTATTTATAACAATCTACCCAATGCTCAATTTATTCGAAATTATCAAGTCAAACCTTGATAATGGTATCTAAAATTTTTATAATTAACATCATAAACTGGTCTTAGTTAAACAACCTTGGAAAAACAAAAAGCAGTGGACAGGTGTTTCGTTTTAGTACAGGACTCCTCAGCAATGTGCATTCACAACCCTGCTACCTGTGAAATTTCGAAAATCTCCATAAACCCACCATAGTATCATCATTTTTAGTTAGTTTTTTGATGTCTGCCCGATACTCTGAAATGTTTTCGATATTTCAAACAGTGATTGACTTATTATCATTTTAATGCTAGAGTAACAAGATCGTCTATTTCACTGTAAACGAACGATTAATCTGTCAAAAAATTTTTGTATTTTACAGATTTTTCGTGTCTAACGATTAGAAACCTCAGTGTTTTGTTTTCGCTTTTTATCTGTACTTGATTCAGATCCTGTGGATATTTGTACTTTTGTTCATTCATCTGAAACTTTTCATCGCTTTTGTTCTGCTTTGGCCAAATTTTTGAACTTCAATTTTAGTTCTGTTGAGTTGCAAGAATTAATCTATTTGTTGCCACTCAATTACGATCATAATTCTGGTAAGTAAATAGAATAACTGAAGCTTCATATCCAATATCCACTACACGTTCCATATGTTATTCTTTTTGTTTGAGGTATCCGAATGGTTGAAGTGAAAACAAGCAGTTTTTGTTGTTTGTATCTGCAATACACATTTTTGTTTTGTGGTTTATATCACAGACTGTGTGGCAATTACACACCATTGACATTGAAAGTTGGTCGCGCAATATCTCATATTGATTGAAGTTAAACATGTACACTGTTTGATGCCGATTCGTCACTCTAAGGTTTTAAATCTCGTCACGAGAACTCAATATTCTGAGTTCAATCCTAAGAATTCCCACAAATCCTTCATACATATTTCAATATTTATTGCTCCAAAACCAGCTTTTAACAACTGTTTACCACTGTTTGCAGTATATGTCATATGTTCGAAATTTTCGCTTGATAACCTTATAACCAGTGGGGTAGGCGCTTTTATTGCTGAGATGTTCAACAAGTTAATTGTATCCGTATCAGAAGTACTTACTAATGCTCCAAAGAAAGTGCTCTCAATTTCTTGGTGAATAATGACTGTTCTAAAATCATTAGTATGATGAATAGTATGTTAATCAATAATGATACAATATACTCGAGTGACAACTCTCCACGAGACTGAATTATCAATGTAAGCACCTAAATAAAGTGTTACTCAATAATAAGATATTTAACTGGTAGTATAAGTTGTTTTGTAGTAAGATTAGGTGCTTAAATACAAAGTACTTGACACAAAAATGAACATCAACAGATCTTATAAGCTATTGTGGGATGTACATTGTTTTGGTCACTCACATGTGAGCCAGTTAAAGACTGATTTCTGGACATTATTTCTGACTGTCATCTCTATTAGTGGCACTTTAGAGTACGTCACTATGTATTTAGTGTCCGCATTTTGGTTTATTATGGCAATAATAATGTTAAGTTGATGACTGTCCATTACGCGAACAGTTAGAAGTTAGAAAAAGCCCTTACAAATTTCGTGGAATTGATGGTTCACTTACATGGGGGTGTTTATTCACTGATTACTACATGTGTATGCAGGTCTATTTCTGGCAGATAATGGTGGTCGATATACCTCATTCACAATCTACTTGTCTAGCTATCAAATGATAAACTAGTTCGATTACAATATACCGTAATTTATTCCGCTGATTAATGTGACTATCGGACTCATTAACAGTATTCCGACTTACTATTGATAATTACGTAATGGAATTGAAATTCTGTTGATCTTATCCTGTTGATTGTATGTAGTCTAACACTTTATAATATCGTATTGGATTGCTTCTTAACGTAGCTTTGTCATTATACTTTGGAATTATACACTCATAATAGAACAACTAAATTCAATCTCGTTTATTTTTTACTTCATTATATTTTTTACTAGTTCATTGTATTCTCGCAAACTCTATACTACCGTGTAATTTATTCCGGAAGTCATTTCAGTATTTTCGTGATCATTCAACGTTGATGCTAATTCAGGGTATTGCTGGAAAAATAGCATCTCAAAGTAAGTTTGTTATATTTTTATAGGATTTTGTGTGTATGTTTAACTCCTCAATAATTTACACAGTGATTGTATCATCTCATTTCTCATGAATTAGCAACCAGGGTTCCTTCCCGATATTAATATAAGTAACTGGATTCAGTTGCATAAACGAATCGTCTGACACTAAAAAACCTAGATTTCATTCTTTTAGTAAAGTGGTACTATATGCCTACATATATGAGTTCTATCCTACGCTCGCATGCCTCACAGTATGTACATCTATGTATAATGGAGTATTTGCGTAGTTCTTGTTACTTTTGAAATAGTAACTCGTGAAATCCATCCCAGGTGTTATAAGATACTGATTCAGACTTTTATCTCCTTATATTAACCTCTTAAAAGTGGTGGATTATTTGAGTATTCCAAATCACTAGTTTGTTCACTAAAACGGACCAGTGTCGAGGTTACTAGTCGATGAGTAAGTCTAACAAAAACTAATGGGTGTAAATATTTCATTAAATACGGATGTAAATATACAGGTAAGTTCAAATGGGATGTTATTAAGTGGCTGGACCTACTAGTAATTCGTTTACTAGGTAGTGTTATTGTTATATCTTGTGACCGCTTATTAAACGACAGTGAATTATCGATCGGACCAAGGACACGCAAAACACGTGCGAGCACCCTAGTGTCCTGATTGACCCTGCTTCCTGCCTAGCCTAGCCAGTTAAGTCCAGAACACAAGTCTCAGCCTCTGCAATATGAGTCATTATATTTCAAACATACTGAGTTTATATACCAATCAAACAGACCACAACGTACCAATAAAATATGAAACAACATTTGTACAAGAATTAGCCAGATGTGGCTGTGAATGAGAGAGGTGGTAATTAATATACTGGGTATAACTCAAGAATGGTAAAACATATAATAATAGTTTATGGGTCAAAATAAAGCTTATAATAAGAGGAATATGAATATGCATAGTTTAGTTACTTAATAATTATACAATAGAAATATACGTTTAGTATTGGTTCATCAATATATCCCAAAAGTTACCACTCGTTATTCTTGTCGGAACATAACAGTTATCCACTGTCAGTTTTAGATAAAAACTGAACTTTTTGTTGAGTAAAATGTATTTGTTCTGAATGCTTTTGCATATCAGTTAGTTATTGATGCATTCTACACTGAAAATACTGTTAACTCTCTGTGTCACGAACTTTTTTCTCAAGTTTTTGTCATACTACATTGCTTTATATTTTGAAGGATATCACGGTAAATATGTTTCGTTCAATTTTTACAGGAGAAACAATTGACTTATTTTTGGATACATGTCGAGATATTATGGTTGAAAGTGATAATTATCTACGTAATTCATGTCTTCTACTTATCATAGGCGCGATTGCTGGTTATATCTCTCGCGGTAAGCTATTCAATGGTGATAGTAGTCGATTTAATCTTATGTTCTCTCGTAGTTGAGATTTATTTCATTTACATATTGAAATGTTATTCGGTTACTTCTGTCTGTATTGTCTTGTCGAAAAACTTTTTTCTCTTTTATTCGAAATAGATATCATGTCCAACTATAACTAGATTCGTGAATGGGATCGGTTACTCATTGTAAAAATCTTTGAATAAAATTAACCCTTAGGTCTGAACCCTAGCCTACTTATTTTGATTTGGTCATCTAGTTAGCATCGTTAACTTCCACATAAACAATGTAATTCAAAGATGAATGCCTAAGATTTGACTTGGAAAATGAGTAATACATATCCATGCTGTTCTATCAAGTGATTTGCTTGCTGGTCTTGTGGCGATGTGATTTCGCTTCGGAAGTTAGTATTTAAAAACTTTCCCTGTGACTTAAAAGTCTTTATTTTTTTAGTAAAGGGAAATTTACTAGCGTGTGCACATGTATAGTATTCATTACATTAGTAAAATCCCAGCAACATACATTTACCTTCATGTAAATCTTCAGCTTCGCAAGTCATTTTTTTGCCTTCATATATATTTCCCTTCGTGGTTTTCAACAATTGTCTAGTCCAAATCAGGTTAATCATCTGAATGGAAACAGTCCTTCCTCTTGACCGACTTGTCATACACTGCCTAACTGAAAAGAAAACATATAAAATTTGGCACAAATATATACTACTTTCAGGTTGTTACATTTCAAACTACAACAATAACAGATTCATAATTTAATGAATGCTAATTATGTGCATAGGTCTTCGCACTACTAAATTCAGACTTCAATATTTCCGTTACAAACTCTACCCCCCTATCTGTTCCTACACTATCCAACATACAATGGTGTAAGTGGTTGTATGGTATTTGTCAAATAGTGGTCAATGTTTATAACATTGTCGGTAGATTTATTCTCGTTCACGTTCCCACTGGAATCTGTTCATTTTATTCTAAGGATTTTATTTTCTGTGGTATCTTATTACTTAGTAATGAAAAAAACTGAATTTGTTGAATATGTTTTTCTATATACAACTCTTAGATAATCATTGAGTGAGTGTTTTGGGGTTCTTTATGGATCTACAATACTTGCGGCATTAGTAACGAATGAGTTACTCTGATACAACCGGTTCTGTTGCGTAGATCGATGACGACAAATAGCGCACTACACTCCAAAACTTGGCCACTTACAGGCCTCCGAATGCCCTGGTACGGCCGAGGGTGGGGAGAGTCCGCTCTCCCTCTTGAAACGCTTTCACATGGCCACGCGTACATAATCACGTCCAGGGAAATCCTTCTCGCGGCGGGGGTGCTTTTTACGAAATTAAGAGGATGGAAAGCGAGTGTTGGGCGGTTGTTTGAGGTAAACATTTTGCTACCATCGCACCCCAGTACAATCGACAGAACACCACCCTCTAACTGCAAGTTTTGTGGTTTTAGCCCAGCCGTTCTCCGACCAACCCCCCTGACACAATTGAACATAGATGAATAAGTGTTCTAGTCTCATCATAATAAGCAACACTGACTACCACATCAAGGTAGCAGCTATGGTCAAGTGAGAACTCATTGAAAGCTGAAGTTCTTTTCCGTTCTAATCGTAGAATAATTACCCATAACTCTCTGTAGAACTGTAAATATACTTACTTATAATTGATTTCCATTTTTGATGCTTAGATTTCTGACTGACTATGGATCTTAAAAAGGATGTATAGAATTACTTGGTTATTGAAGTTTTACTATTTGTGTATACTGTGATTTTCACCTTCTTTATAATCAAGAATATTATGTGTTAATCAACTGTGAATACAAAATATTAACTTTATGCCATCTATGTGGAAATTATTACTCTGAGTAACTATTCTTTTATTAATTACAATATACATCTCTGTAAGCTTTTATTTTCAAATTTGTTTTTATTTTTTAAAAAAAGAATCTCATTTGATTTGTTTGTCTTTTTCGTGTCCTTCATATTAGATAAAATACCATGGAGTGAACGTGAAAACCTTTGTTTGTAAGCTTATTTTCATTATATTATATAGATTAAATGTTTGATATGTACGTGTAAAGTAAAATAAAGACTTGATGAAACTTTAGCTACACTTGATTTGTTTGTCTAATACCTGTATCCATTACATTGAATTAGAAAATAGAAAGTTGATTTAATCAACTTGGGATACAGTTAAAAACCATTTACATATTGTTTGCTTGAAAAACTAACTCCCTGTGAACCTAAAAAGCTACATAACTTATTATATGTTTGCAGTCTACCAAAAATGGTCACCCAGTTCTGAACAATAGATTTAGACATTATTTCGGCTGTGAATTCAGTTATCGATTTGGCTGTGGGAAACGTTGTGAATCTATCTATGCATGTCAGTAGATAATACAAGCCATTAGAACGTAGTAAAGAACCTACCAATTCTGTATTAACGCAGGCAAAATGTACATCTGATTTTCAGAAAACTCCGATATAAGAATTTGTGTGATGGTTAACCTTTGATTTTGGGCATACCAAACACTCTTTAACCGAATCGTGTACACTATTTTGTAAATTTGGCTATACGAATCTGGCATTGATTAGTCTGGTAGTAGCCTTTGTGCATAGTTTTCAGGGTCGAGGCATCGCCTTCTTCGTGTCCCAGTAAATGAAACTGCCTCCAGTAGATGATGGTTCTTTGCTGCAAATGGTTTTTGCAATTCTTGATACCGTTTATAATCGTCTCGAAACTTACTGTAGATTGTTGTATTATTTTCATTTCCATCCGAAATAGTGCATCTGTCGCCCGATCGTCCTGACTTTTGACATGTCGGACATCACTGATGAACTGTGATGTGTAGTCAAGGTGTCGGACCTACGGAGAACATTTATCATCTCCAACTTTTAAAGTATTAGCTAGTGGTTTATGACCAGTATAAACTATGAACTCCCCATCTTACAACATGTGTCGGAAGTGCTTGATGGGTAGTTAGACTGCAAGACGTTCCCGTCCGAAGGTCCAATATCTAGTGTCTGCTGAAACGAATCATTTTGAGGAGATCGCAATCGTTTTTCAGGCGTTTCCAGTCAGTTTGTTAAGGACATCGCCTACTGCTCTGACTGAAGCGTCCACCATCGAGGAGAGTTGGGAGTTAGAATTTGAATATGTTAACGTAGATGCTTGGGATAGTTTATCCTTTAGCTGTTTAATAGTCTCGATAGCCTTAGAATTCAGTCCAATTTCTTTTGGTTTCGCCTCAAGAGAATCTGTCAAATGTTGCATTGACCTTGCACGATCAGGTATGAATCTACGATAAAAGTTGACTAAACCAGGAAATCTTCTTAGTTGTGTTGAAGAACTTGGTTAAGCTGTTAAGCCTCCTATACATAATTATCATAACTGAAGACTTCATTCACAAACCTTATTTTTAGTCTACATATGATATTTCTGACTATCACTGAAATTTATTTAGATTTCGTGTTTACATATTTTTGTATCTTTTCAGAAGCCTTATGAGTTTATACTTTGATCGAGACATATTAACATTACCTACGCGTCAATCTAAGTGTGTGAACACCACTAGTGACATTATTATCACCAACGGTAATAATGATATGGATTATTCGACATCGCTAGTTCATTTATCAAATGATAGAATACCTACCAATCATCTGTCTAATGTAAGCACATATAAATCATGGCCACCTGTAAATTCTAATCAGAATCCTGCAAAATCTGAAATAAATCAACTTGGAGATGTGAAAATGAATTCAATTACAATCTGTTTATTACTAGAAATGTTTTGTACTGTTTCACAGGTTAGCTTCGCTTGCTTTTTTATTCGTTAACATTAAATAGATGGAAACCTGTGTAGTTAAACAATTTCATTCTAATTTAAGTTTATTGCTTTTTTAGTGAGTGTTACTACTACTTATCATCAATGTCAATCTGTTAGGTTATTGAAAAAAACAGTCAACAAGCTTCAGCTAGCGACTACTGATAATCCCTAGGTCATTCAAAGTCTCATAATCTAGAGTTTCAGTAGCATAGCAGTTGAACGAATGACTTTTAGGACTGAAATATTTGAACTTATTAAGTCGCCTTAGCATAAATCAATGTCATGTCACATCTAAGCTTAGTCGATTGAACCTGATCAACCTAAATTGGAAAACATGAAATTAACTGTTTATTATTAGTCAGTTACTCTAAATAACTCAACCATGAATAGCTCGGTGGTGAAGCCTTCATCTCTGGGTGATACCGGTACGAATCCCATAGAGGATGTCGAATTGGAGATACCCTTTTTCAACCAGTACAAGACTCCTACCATTTTACCTCCGACTAATTGTAATAAAGTAGTTCACAATTGATTGATCACTGGGTGGTGATCAATGTCATGCTTGTCTAGTCCTTATTAGTGCATTCTCCACATTCCACAGTCCTATTAACTCAAAGGATTAGGTAATTTGTGTTTTTGTTTACTCATTAACATATAATCCGCCAGTTTTGGTCTATTACCCAGGTTCCTGGGAGAAAAAGCTTCCTTTCTTTTCTCATCTTTGATCTAATTTCTTCATAATGAACCATTGACTAAACACAATACTAATTTTTTTTTTCCAAATTACTACCAAGTTACAATTATTCAGTATGATGTTTAAAGTTATGGATTATTGTGTATACATTATGTACTATGTATGAGTGTGTATCGGGACACACATAAATGTCTACTTTTAGATATCCTTTAAATAAACTTAACGTATTGACCAGAAACCGTCCTATGTATTCGATCTTAAGCTATATTGTTTGTGTAATGGCTAGTACTAACACATTATGACTGCGCAAACTGAAGTAGATGAACTAGGCTTTGCATGTACGATTGATTAGTTGAAAATTGAATAATTTAACTATTTGGTGGTCACTGTTCTGTGGAAAGTTTCAATGAAAAGAATGCACTGTGTATTTGTATAGCTTGAAAGTCGACCGTTATGTATTAAATACGTGCTAATAAATCTGTGTTGCATGATTTACCAGTGTTATATTTACATACTATACAAGAAGCAATATCATGAAAAATTAGATAGAATATGTAATAATTAACCACACCATTGTGTTTGCAGTGTTATCACCCATTTTTGTCTCTGGGAAAGAAAAGATTAAAAAATGAAAAATATCGATTTCGTGGTACCTCAATTTGATCGAACTCTGAATGTTAATTAATTCATAAAAGTTATCAATAATAACCTAAGTTTCCCTGACATTATTTAGTAAATTTGCATCTAATCTAATGACATGGTGGTTAAAGCTACTGAAACACAGGTTTATGGACAATAAAACCAGATTAATTCAATGTAATACACAAAAAGAGCAAATCTTTGTACAAACTGCCAGATTCTTTTTTAAATGATGGTTTAACTCGGAATGTGTTGATTAGTCCATTGTTCAATCAGTCTACGCTAGTAAGACAAATCAAAAGGATACTACAAAATTCTCAAATAATTCTATCAAATTCAGAGTAATAAACCTCATTAAGATCATTAACGGATTTAATGGATTTTGCAGTCGCTGAAAGAATGTTTAGTGACCCAATATCTGACTCCAGTTAAATCGTGTGCTGATTGTTATCGAAATATGCATACCGCCAACTGTCGTATGTGTAATCATCGACCTAATTGTCTCTAGAGAATAACGGAATGAAATAAGCCAAATACGGAAATGTATTTAGAATACGTATATTTCCCACACTGGTTGGTCGGAACAGACAAGCAGGGAAACGAAGTGATTCTCAGCGGAGGAGAGTGAGCCAACACGTTCTGATCAAGCGTGACTCCATATGTTTATCCAGACAAAAATAATTTACAGACATGTAATAAATAGGGTGAGCAATCAACACACATACGATCATATAAAAATGATCAGGATTAATAAGCGGATAATCGAGAAGGTAAAATGTGGCTTGAGAAGAATGAATAAATTGGTATGTCTAGAAGCTAGAATAGCCTATGTGGTCTTGACACAGTACCAGCCACTACAAATGTAAAAACCTTTTCAGAAAGAATTAAATACAAACAACTATTATAAATACTTTCTTATTTATCCTTCATAACTTACTACTTGTTTACCTCATAATATTTTTTATTCATTGAAAAAAAATAATCAAAAGTTGAATACATTAACAGTTAATAATGACGTTGAAAAAGTTCATACTGATCAACATTTCACTGAATGCTTACGTATTGGTTTACTTCCAACTATATCATTTGCTTCACGTTCTGATTTAATCGGTCAAACTGCACGAGTTTGTTTAGATCAAGTAGCTAAGAATTGTAAATATTCAAGGTTAGTTTTATAGTGTGTGTTTTTCTACAATTCATAAGTTGAAATTTCTTAGAGTTTTTATTTGTATCACTCACATAATATTTTATTATATAGAACATGTAACTGCTAAAGCTTGTTTGAACCATCTATCAAGCTTAATAATTTCACTGTATATGCCTGAATAACTAATTTTATGGAATACTGAGGAAAATCACTATGTATTTCGTGTATGGTATTTGGTTATTTCAACTTAATGATTAAACTATCTACCTCAGAGAACTTTAAGCTATTAGAAAAAGCTATTTGTTGGATTTTGTTTGTGAATGAACGTTTACTCCCCTTTTCTTATATCCTCTTCACTGATCTTATAGATTTGTTCTATTTCCTGTGACATAAATAAGGTCCGCCAATTTGTTGTATGTCCAATATCGTGTCACTTTATTATTAATAATAAGCCATTTACACAATCTATAAATTGACTGAGGCCTTTGTAAATCACATCAAGTTACTAGATCACTTTATATTAATTTAAACAACATTGAAAGGAGATGGTATGATTTATTGATTCATTTGTTCACAGTCGTTCGTTCGTGATAAACATCTTGAAGTTTGTGTGCCTATCGTAACGAAAGTTGCAGATGATCAACGAACATCTTCCGACATAAAGTAGTCCACAATTCTGATGTGTTTCAGGTTAAAACTTTAGGTGTCTTTATTGCAATTCAGTCAATGAATTGCTTTGGTTCTTATTTGTAAATTATATTCCATATAATCAAAATCACTATTTTTTTCGCACTCTCATTCTTTTGATTACAGCGTAAGCGAACTGATTACAATTAATGCTGACTACTTAGTTTCCAGTATAACTCTAGATTTACATCGCGTTAACTTATTGACTATGACAAATTCATCAAATGGTAACAATGCAATTTCTCTGTCGAGTGAAGTTGAACAAAGCTTGTTATCAGCTTGTAATGCTACAAACACTTTGTTTGAATACTGCACAATCAATGTACTGCCAGTTTTAAAACCGATGGTTACAAAAGTAATTTAATTATTCCAAGCTTTTTATTTTCCAATTGTTACATTATAAATTTGTTTCAACATTTTTGAAATAGAACTTCTTAGTACTTAGTAAAACTATTACTCAACATTTTGTACACATGGTTCCCTTTATTATCCTAAAGAGAGCAAGAACAAAGATTGGTGCAGAATAATATGAATTCATTTTATTTCGTTAGGTTCTCATCAGCTGCTTACAACCTAAAATATTTGAAATTTAACATTATTACAGATATTGATATACTTATACATAAGAGGGTGATTAAGGATGAATAAATGTATCATGGTGCAGCGAAGATTCCGATAGAGTTAATGAGGTCATAAGATTTTGTCTTGAATAAATAAAGTTAGAGAGGGAAAGTTCCGGAACATTGAAATAGTGATTAGAACTCATGAAAATAGATTAATGGTAATAAAGAGAATATGAATTGCAATCAGTCAATTATGTATGATGTAATTTAAAAGAGTTGGAGTAATGACGCAATAAATAAACAAAAAAATAAATAATTCACTTGATATTGTTTTACTTGAATCTTCCCATTGATGTTTTAGGACTGAAATTGATCAGTCTCTTATTGGCATATGTGCATACTGTGCGTATGCCTCGATATTGCCTTAATTTACAAGCATCATAAGCAAAGATGGATAGTGGCTAGCAGTGGAATCCGGGACGCGCGTTTCGTCCTGTTTGAAATAAACAGGTAGAAATAAATGAATAAAAAAGGGAAGGGTAAAGAAAGATTTATTACTGTCTCTTTTTGTATACATAGGTCTGGTTTCAGACGTTTGATTGCTAATGCTTCAGTAAATTTCAGAAGGTTGGAGCTTGATTGTTTATTAATCACTTTGAAGGACTTCAGTGTATCGACTTCGTGTCCTGTGTCAAGGAGATGTTTTACGATGGCACTGTTGAATGCTTTCAATCCATTTGATGTTAAACTTTTCGGAATATGTTCTTTGAATCGGACGTAGGCTCTCCTTCCTGTTCTACCAATGTAACTGCTTTTGCAGATACACGTGAATTTGTATACACAGTTGTTGGTAACATGAAAGGGATACCTGTCGACCTTTGATTGTGTCAAAGAATATGTTGTTTTGGACAGTACAATCAATTTTGTTACAAGATAAGTTCTTGACAATGCAGTTTTTAGTCTCATTGATTGATCCTGTGACATCATCACCTTTGAATTTTAGTTGAATAAAAATAGGCTTTTTATTTGCTGTAATTTCTTTGGGTTTTTTATCTTCACGTTTGCCATATTTCCTAATAAACTTCAGTGGGTATCCATCATTCTTTAAACATTTTTTAACATTCATAATTTCCCCTTCTAGTGTATCGGCAGTACATGTTCTTTCTGTTCTGTGAAACAGTGTTTTGACCAGTGCTCTTTTGTAACTGATTGGACAAAAGCTATTGAAATTGAGATAACTTCCATTCCATTTGGCCTTTTTATAAACTGAACGTTGAACTGTACCATCCTTTCTTTGTTTTACCGCGATATCGAGAAAATGGAACTTGTTTTCTTTTTCATGTTCCATAGTGAAATGGATATTTGGATGGGCTTCGTTGAAAAGCTTTAGCAGATTTATTGCATGTTGTTGATTATTACATACGATGAAGGTATCATCAACATACCTCGAATAATACATCATTTCATCAATCGCTCCTTTGAGCTTGGTTCTTTCGAGGTTAGCCATGAAAATATCTGCTAGGACAGGACCTAACGGACTTCCCATTGCTACACACGATATCAAATACAGACAAACCGACGGTGTAGCAATGGGAAGTCCGTTAGGTCCTGTCCTAGCAGATATTTTCATGGCTAACCTCGAAAGAACCAAGCTCAAAGGAGCGATTGATGAAATGATGTATTATTCGAGGTATGTTGATGATACCTTCATCGTATGTAATAATCAACAACATGCAATAAATCTGCTAAAGCTTTTCAACGAAGCCCATCCAAATATCCATTTCACTATGGAACATGAAAAAGAAAACAAGTTCCATTTTCTCGATATCGCGGTAAAACAAAGAAAGGATGGTACAGTTCAACGTTCAGTTTATAAAAAGGCCAAATGGAATGGAAGTTATCTCAATTTCAATAGCTTTTGTCCAATCAGTTACAAAAGAGCACTGGTCAAAACACTGTTTCACAGAACAGAAAGAACATGTACTGCCGATACACTAGAAGGGGAAATTATGAATGTTAAAAAATGTTTAAAGAATGATGGATACCCACTGAAGTTTATTAGGAAATATGGCAAACGTGAAGATAAAAAACCCAAAGAAATTACAGCAAATAAAAAGCCTATTTTTATTCAACTAAAATTCAAAGGTGATGATGTCACAGGATCAATCAATGAGACTAAAAACTGCATTGTCAAGAACTTATCTTGTAACAAAATTGATTGTACTGTCCAAAACAACATATTCTTTGACACAATCAAAGGTCGACAGGTATCCCTTTCATGTTACCAACAACTGTGTATACAAATTCACGTGTATCTGCAAAAGCAGTTACATTGGTAGAACAGGAAGGAGAGCCTACGTCCGATTCAAAGAACATATTCCGAAAAGTTTAACATCAAATGGATTGAAAGCATTCAACAGTGCCATCGTAAAACATCTCCTTGACACAGGACACGAAGTCGATACACTGAAGTCCTTCAAAGTGATTAATAAACAATCAAGCTCCAACCTTCTGAAATTTACTGAAGCATTAGCAATCAAACGTCTGAAACCAGACCTATGTATACAAAAAGAGACAGTAATAAATCTTTCTTTACCCTTCCCTTTTTTATTCATTTATTTCTACCTGTTTATTTCAAACAGGACGAAACGCGCGTCCTGGATTCCACTGCTAGCCACTATCCATCTTTGCTTATGATGCTTGTAAATTAAGGCAATATCGAGGCATACGCACAGTATGCACATATGCCAATAAGAGACTGATCAATTTCAGTCCTAAAACATCAATGGGAAGATTCAAGTAAAACAATATCAAGTGAATTATTTATTTTTTTGTTTATTTATTGCGTCATTACTCCAACTCTTTTAAATTACATCATACATAATTGACTGATTGCAATTCATATTCTCTTTATTACCATTAATCTATTTTCATGAGTTCTAATCACTATTTCAATGTTCCGGAACTTTCCCTCTCTAACTTTATTTATTCAAGACAAAATCTTATGACCTCATTAACTCTATCGGAATCTTCGCTGCACCATGATACATTTATTCATCCTTAATCACCCTCTTATGTATAAGTATATCAATATCTGTAATAATGTTAAATTTCAAATATTTTAGGTTGTAAGCAGCTGATGAGAACCTAACGAAATAAAATGAATTCATATTATTCTGCACCAATCTTTGTTCTTGCTCTCTATAAAATTTCTCACCAGTTTATTCTTTTCGCCCACATTTTCTGGCTTTTAGTTCTCGACATTTTCCAACGTTGTATACAAATTGAGTAGCATATGTAAGTTAAGACCACAATTATGTTCCATTTCACAGCAACAGTTGATGAGTTTGAAAAACATGTAAGATCCATTTGATTCTTTTTTAATCGTTACGTTTAAATATTTCGCATTGATTATAACCCAAGTTACTGGATAAACGGTGTTTAATTTGTTCAGAAAGTATCAGCTGATGTGCTAGCCAGCTATCAATTAAATTTACGAAACCATGTATTTTGTCGAGCTCAGTCAGTCAGCGACAACGTAGGACCAGGCACATTTATGGATCGGTCCACGTTGCCATACCTCATTAACACAACAAGATGAACACCGGATTCGTAAAAGTAGTTAATTCAGAGGTGGTAATATATAAACGATAGATTGCATATAAGAATATAATACAGGGAGAAAGAATTAGTTCGTAGAAATAAAGATATGAAGCGATTTTAATCTCATAGTTTAAAGGAAGACAGAGTGTATACACCGACTCCATTGTGATAAATTCTGAGCCATATCACCCAGTCTCCAACCATTGGTTACGATAGTCACGCGGACCCCAACCAAGTAGTCTGCATCTACCAACATGGCTAAGACTAGAAGTTAGTGACTTCAAGCACTGATGCCACGTTTTGGTTTGGCCGCCCCTAACTTTCTTCCAACTCTCTCCAACACCGGTTAGCATTGCTCGTCGTGGTAATCAATGTTCAGGCATACGTAACACGTTGCCCAACCATCTCATTCGATGAAGATTCACAACCTCATCAACTGATTTACCATCATTCAATAATACCCTGCTTATAACCTCACTATTACTTACCCGGTGATCCCAGCAGATGACAGCAATATTTCTAAGACATCTGTGGTCAAATACTAGTAGCTTACGAGTGTCTTCTACTCTTAATGGCCATGTTTCGCTGCCGTAAAGTAAAACAGAACGGACTGCCGCGCAGTATACTCGTCCTTTTATTGATAGATGGATATCTCGCCTTCGCCACAGGTGACGTAAGTTGGCAAAAGCCAAACGAGCTTTTCGAATCCATGCTGAGATTTCGTCAGACACCAACCCATTAGGGCTGATCAGACTTCCAAGATAAGTGAAGTTGTCGAGGCGTTCGACTACTTCACTCCCTATCCTTAGTTCAGGTGTTGACGCAGACCAGTCCTGAAGCAACAACTTGCATTTAGAGGGAGAGAAGCGCATTCCAAATATTCTGGCATTGTTGCTTAGTGTTGCCAGAAGACTCTGCATTTTATCACCAAACAGGACTATATCATCTGCGTATTCTATGTGGACAAGTGGACCTCCTGGAAGGAGATTAATACCCGAGAATTCAGTCGACGAGGATGTTATTTCCATCAGTAGGTCTATGATGAAGTTAAACAAAAATTGCGAAAGTGGACAGCCTTGCCGGACACCACTTGAGGTTGCAAAAGCAGATGACAGTTCGCCATAAGCTCTGACTCGACTATTAATGTTCGAGTAAAGAGCCTTCAGAAGGTTTATGTACTTCTGAGGTACGCCTTTCAATGACAGACACTGCCACAGAATCTCGCGTTCTACGGAGTCAAATGCTGCTTTTAAGTTAAGAGAGACCACGGTCACACACGACCTTTTTATGGGTAATTTTTGTGTTAGCTCCGTACTTGTTGAGACCTTACCGCCGGAGACGGATATCCGTGGGATAAGGCGAGGTGTGCATTTTTAGGGTCGACCTTTTCTAACCCCACCCTTCCTTGTGGGAAGGCAGCATCGCTGTCATTCTGGTTGTCTGAAGGAAACACCTTACTGCTGTCACACCTCCGTACAGTCAGCAGTACGACTTGGCCTTCGGACCTTATGTTTGTTGCTTTTAGTCTGACCGCTCTTCAACCGACCTGTCTGACATAGTAGGACCTTGAGGAACGGTTGTTCCAGCCAGTATAGCTTGGTTGATTCATTAAGATAGGCAAGCCCGACCACTGCGTCAAGGTAGCAACAACGATCGGGATTTTGTCGAGCTATTCAACTTCCGGCCTCTAATTTTCAGGTTAGAACGCCACTCTGATGACTGGTTTCGGTAACCAACATTTCTCTTTAGCCATCACACTAAGAATATGGCTCGAAGTCAAATTGACGAATCTATACCTGGTAAATGAACTTTAAAAAGTACACTACAATGCTTATGTTATGAATTTCAGTCTCACATAGATCGAAGTGTTCTACTATTTGGCGTAACGGTGGATTTTAACATCAGCTCTTTATTCTTACACGAGAATATAATTAATGTACGAACCTTACGTTCTGTGTAACTGTTAGAGATGATTACGGAATAAAAAAAATGTACTCAAATTAGGAAACAGCGATAAAACTTCGGTTTTTATCGAATAAATGGAATATAGTTAGAATTAGAAATCGGGACGCTTGTTTCATCTTATATAAAACTGACCAACTAGATGTACCTAGATCTCATGTTTGATCTTCACTCTAAGATCCAAACTGAATTCACTTTTATTCAAACGCCCAACGCATTATCCTATTAGCTACTGAGTTCACATAGCCACGCATTTGAACAACATGTCTGAATTTTAATTTAATTTGTGATTTATCCACATTCCATCTATTCTAAAAAAATTGTGACATAATGAATATATTGAGGCAATTCTCACAAAATGCATATATATCAATCAAAATACCAACAGCGGAATAATAAAAAAAATCATTGCAAATGGAATAAAACTTGATTTTTTTTCTCGTTCAGCTTCAACACTACTTACATTCATTTTAAAAGTAGAACAATTTATTTAAATAATTTCTTTTAGTTCTTATTTTTGAAGGTGTTGTATTATTTTGAACTGGTTGATTTAATCACAAGGTTTCCGTTAGCTATTTAAATAATATCATGAGTACATACTCCAAACATAACTGATCTATTAAATTTGGAAGTCATCAAAGTACTAATTAGAGGAAGCACAATGAAAGTTTGTTATTTTTCACAATAAGAAAAAGGAATACTTTACTTTCAGAGATCAAATCATAGACGAAAGCAATCCGAATAAATATTCAAATAATAGTTAGACACTCATAAATAATAACAAACCTAATTACAAGTTAGTGGGATAAACAGTTAATCTTACTTACTTACGTACTTACGCCTGTTACTCCTCGTAAAGGAGCCTAGGCCGCCCACCAGCATTCTCCATCCAACCCTGTCCTGGGCAATCCTTTCTAGCTCCGTCCAGTTGTAATTCATCGTTTTCATATCTGCTTCTATTATCCGACGCAATGTGTTCTTTGGCCTTCCTCTTTTTCGCTTCCCTTCAGGATTCCAAGTTAGGGCTTGTCTCGTGATGCAGTTTGACGATTTGCGTAATGTATGTCCTATCCATTTCCATCGTCTTTTCCTAATTTCTTCTTCAGCTGGAAGCTGGTTTATTCTCTCCAAAAGAAGGCTGCTGCTGGTGGTATCCGGCCAATAGATGTTGAGTATCTTGAGTGAACAGCTATTTATAAATACTTGTACCTTCTTGATGGTGGTTGTTGTAGTTCTCCAAGTTTCAGCTCCATACAGTAGAACTGCCTTGACGTTGGTATTGAAGATTCTGACTTTGATATTGGTTGGAAGTTGTTTTGAGTTCCATATGTTCTTCAATTGTAGGAATGCGACCCTTGCTTTGCCGATCCTCGCCTTTACGTCTGCATCGGATCCTCCTTGTTCATCGATGATGCTTCCCAGGTATGTGAAGGATTCTACATCTTCCAAAGTTTTGCCATCAAGTGTGATTGGATTGCTGTTCTCCGCTTTGAATTCGAGGACCTTAGTTTTCCCTTTGTGTATGCTGAGGCCTACTGATGCAGAGGCTGCTGCTACACTGGCTGTCTTTATCTGCATTTGTTCATGTGTATGTGATAGGAGGGCTGGGTCATCTGCGAAGTCCAATTCGTTTAGTTGGTTCTCAGCTGTCCATTGTATGAGGTGTTTCCCCTCAGACGTCGAGGTCTTCATAATCCAGTCGACCACCGAAAGAAAGAGGAAGGGAGAGAGTAGACAGCCTTGTCTGACTTCGGTCATAAACAACTAATCATTTGTGAATAAATTCTAATTCCTCACTTCTTTTTATAAGTAAATCCTGATGATATTATGTAGAAAGGTAATGAGTGCTTTTACAATTAAACCATTTATCTCCGTGAATACAATAGCTGCCGTTTTTAAAGCTTTAAAATCGTAACTATATACTTATTTTTCCAGATGATACTAATTACAATAATAGTGATAATAAAATCCTGTTAAAGATGGTAACAATAAGGTAGAATAAACAAATGTATTACAACATTATTTTTATCAGGAAAGATAGTGATAATTTTATTGTTAAGGGCCTGAATATGCATCATAAAGATAGATTTTTTAAAAAGAACATTCTTCGTATCAACTTTGCGAATAGTGTTCTCCAGCAGATAATAATCATAAGGATAAATAATCTCATTTGACCAACTCTGTGTGCATTGATCAATTCAACTGCTTTTGCGGAGCTAGGTATATAGGTCATTCAATGCGTACTTTATCCGAAAAATCCAAGAACATGATCCGGCCCGCCTAAAAAGAGAAGATAAAAGCTCAATGATCGAAAACCTTGTGAACACAAGTTACTCAATCAAAGCGGACTGTGTGTTTAAAGTCATCCACAAGGTAAGTAGAAGGCTGCCAAATGCAGTTATATCCCATCTTAGTATTACCGAAGCATTAGCTATTCATTTGGAAAAACCAGAATTATGTGTCCATAAGAAACTGGTACAACCTCTTCTATCATGGTCTTAATGTCTCATAATTTTCTATCTTCTTCATACTTTTCTTCCTTCATAGCCATCTTCATCCCCTTCTATCCTCTTGATCATATTTCATTTCAATCTCAACAATTTATCTTATCATGCTCGGCCTTTTCCAATTTTAATTTCACTATTTCCATGATGAATATTCAAGCCCTTAATAATGAGACTCATTATTTTCTCTGATAAAAATATCGTTAATACCTTTGTTTATTCTACTTCACTGTTACCATGTTTAACAGGATTTTATTATCACTATTATTGTAATTAGTATCATCTTGAAAAATAAGTATAATTACAATTATACAACTTTTAAAATGAATTCGCCGAAAGGAGAACTCTTTGCTGAATCAATCTTTCTTTGTATCTTAATTAGTATATTCCATTTACCTTCCAAATCATCAACTTGATCTACAAATATTCTTCATCAAACATTTTTTAGTCTCCTTTTTGTATAAACTTTGCATAGCTGTCATGTTTAAATGAATTATTGTTTTCTTTCCTACCAGATGCTTTCATCATTAGATGTTACATATGAATATACAACGGAACTTTTCCTTACACCATTTTATCAATTAATGCAAACATGTCGTAAATGGAATGAATTATTGACGAGAAATAACAAGTGTTCAGACCGAGCAACTGACTCATCTCCAGTGGTTGAATCAATAACTAATCAACAGAAAATGGTAAATGTTTATATAAGTGATATATTCATTCAGCATACAAATTTTCTCATAGATACATTTAACTAAAGCAAAAACCACAAACGTAGGAGAATTATATAAATTTTTATCAGCATAGTGTTTTGTGGAAATTATAGAATTTTCATAGTTTTAAATTACAAACTAATCTTTATTAAAATATCATTAAAAGCAAGGAAGCGCTGGTCATCTGTTTTATCCTAGTGTGGGACTCTTTAGGAGTGCGCATCCACCGCTTCTCCATAGGGAATCAAACCCAAGGCCTTTGATTTCTCATGTGAAAGCTTAACTTGTTGATTGCTAAGCTGTTATCCAACAGTAGTAAAGTCCAACTTTAATGAATTCACTATATTAGTCGACGGATCTGCCATTATCTGCCGTTAATAACTGTCTGACATCCGACATGGTTGAACTTCACTGGTCACAGTTTCTTGGTAAAACCCCAAGTATTGTATCATGAAGCTATTCATTAATAAGGACCCATGGGTTCGATTCACTGTGAAGGGGTCATGGATCTGTCCCTCTAAAGAATCACATACTGAAACGAAACATCGGTCCAGTGAATCCTGGTTTTCAATGATGGTCTACCTAAGATCAATTTACGATTTAAAGCTGTGATAATATAAATCGTTTTATTTCATGATTTCTCTTCAGTTGCTTACAACCTAGAAACGATAATAATTACTATTTACAACCAATATGCATACTTTGCATTATATCCATGAAAATGTATAGACTAACAACAAGTATGGGAAAATTGTAAACTGTTATAATGGATTAATATTTATCTGTTATCATATGTAGGAATTTGTGAAGAAAAACTTCAAGACACATAAAGAAGTGTTTCTAAAAGGTGAAAAAAAAATAATTAAAAAGATGCGTAACACCAAGCGTAAAATTGGCTAGATTGAGTAAATGAAATTAGTAAAGCTCAGAAGAAAATGAAGTAATTGAATACTGAAAATTACAGATCATCAGAATAATGCAAGTTTTACAATTGTAGCTTCTTTCAAATATACAAGTTTAGTTTTAACTTTTTATAATATCAATGTCATTGATAAAACATAATCATTTCGAATTCATTTGAGTATTGTTTACTTTCAACAGTTTTAAAATATCAAAATTATGTTTACCAACATAACAGACGACGAACAGTTACACTGCTGTAAACACATTGACTTATTAATTTTTTTTCTTATTGTGCTGCGTTTGTTGTTTTTCCTTGATCCATTTGTTTTCGTTAATTATTACACTACATTATTACCATATATATTACCCTCAGACGAATTATTCAAAATTCAGCAAATCACATCTTACTGATTTATATCAAAAAACAATCAGTCTTGTATCTGAGACACGTTCACTTCATCACATTGAACCGATTAATCAAACTAATGGAGCCAATTATACTGATACCTTAAATCAACCAGAGAAAATTAAGATGGATCCTGTGAATGATGATATGGATAACGATGAAAATCATACGTATCCTGATCATTTACAAATAGTTGAAGAAGTAGGTAAATGTTTTCTCTATAAGGGCTGTAATAAATTGTATTTCTTTCTAGTTCAGCCTACTCTGATTTTTTATGATAAAAATGAATCAATTGATTATTCATGATCCATTTGGCAAAATTTTGAGGACATTAAACTGTTGTTCCATTTGGGTTTTGAACTAATAAATAAGACCTTCCTATCTTTCTGGCAGCAAGTAACTAAATATTCATTTAACAACTGGTAACTAACTAACTAGCCAAAAATTTTAATTGTCTTAGTTTGGAGCTCCTCAGTGGTGTGCGTCCACAACCACGTCTTATAGAATAAAACCCAGAAATGTTGGTCTCGCGTATGAACGCTTGAACTCCAAACCAAAAAGTTCATCACCCAGCGATATTAATATATGACTTCACTATATTCTATGACCATATTCTATCGCTGTCGATTGATAACTGAAAGTTGAACAATCTTCACAAACCCTTTCTATTGATAAAAGTATAGTTTAATTTTTATACATAAGTAATTTGATGTGAAAGATTAATAGTATTAGCGTAGTAACCAAAAATGTATCAGACAAATAGTCTCAAAATTAATGTTTAAATCCCATCTGCTTTAGGTTCTAAAATGTAATAAGTAATTCAAGGACTTCATATGTATGCTGTCTAAGATATATACGTATTTATGCTATCGACATATTCATTGCATATATACATGGTTGTTTACGTCTAACAGTGTTATCCAAATGCATACAACTTATTAGTCCTAGATAGAACGAGACGTGTTTCTTTGATTTCTTCGATAACCACTACCTAAAATATCGAGGCTTATGTTCAACGAGTTTATTTTTTAGTAGCTTTTAATTGTTATACTGATCTGTCGTCCAATTCTGCTTCTGTTATATAAGTTTCAACTTGCTACTTGAATGAGAAAACTAAAGATTAGTAGTGAGCTTTACCTGGTTAATCGTAGTAGAATTCTTTGCATAAATTCATCCATAAATATATATTTATCTCGTTAAGAAAATCAAGCCAGTAGCATATAAATATATATCTTCCCACAGAAAGTCAATTCAAATCTTATCCAATAACGTACATTCGTTAACAGCCCACACTTATTATTTAGCTTTAAATTAACATGTCGAATAAGTACAGCATATCATATTTCCTTCTTGATAAAATAAACTTTGCTTTTCAAATTTAATTGCAGGAGTCGAAGTGGATAGTGTTGAAATAAATCATCACTTCAATTCAATTCTGAGTATTAACGGAAAATTAAAAACTATTAAAATTGTTCACCATTATAATTTTATCAGAAGGGGTTTCTGTGGATATTATAGTAATTTCAATGGTTGAGATCATGAGTCAATTGAAGCTAGACCACCATGGAAAACCTGGATGTGTCGCTCAATTTCGTGGATTAGTTGGAGTTAGACATTAACACCGTTGGATGTTGGCTCAGTGGTCTAGAGGTTAAGCATTCGCAAGCGAGACCTATAGGTCCGATTGTTCCCAGCTTTCCAGTTTTATTATAATTTCTTGTAATTTGACTCTGTTTCCTTCAGTTTATCAAATTGTACGTAATTATCAATGTGTTCCTTACAGATTTATTATGTGTTACTATTTCAGATTTTTCAAATTATAATTTTGTTTCTTCCAATTCTTCACGTAATTTCAGGTCATGTTACGATGTATACATTTAATGGCTGATGGAAATCCTAAACTACGTATACTTTCTATGAATGTTTTAAAAGAAGGTTGTTTGACGTTAGAAAATGAAACCAGTAAGAGACTAGTTATATTAAAATGTTAACTCTTATTAATTAAATTGTAAATTTACTTTTATTATTATTATTGGCTTTATTCAATATTATATTTTTGGTACAATACAGAATTCTCAGCAGAAAGTATTTCAACTAGTTTACTTCTCTTATTTCTTGATCGATCCTGACGATCAATATTGAGCGATCACCAATTAGATGTTAGCAGTTCAGGAATCGACATCTGAATAATGTTCATTATTTTCAGTGTATATTGTCAACCATCACGATGCCTCTGATTGTACTTTTTTGTAACTTGTACAGCGAAAGATCGTAAACTTTTCATAAACGTGCCTGAATAAGTTATACGATTAATAGACATAATGATGTGTTAAAACAAACGGAAAAAGATAACTTGTTGAAATATCTAGATGGCAGGAACAGGTAGTCCAGATATTCAAGCAGGCAGTCAACAACAATGTTAGTAATATTTGTCATTTAATGTATTGCAATATTATTCATCTATGTTGAAAATAAACAGTTAATTCTACTACAAACTAACCTAAAAATATTCCGGAACACTGTGTTTTTGTTTGCAGAAAATACAGGGACATAATTTTAGTCGCGTTTGGGTCTCGTTAGCTAAATGTATTCACATATCATTATTAGTGTTTAGATCTGAATGTCAATACCAAGAAAACTAAAGCTCTACTACTAATAATAATAACACAATCGTATATCATTAATTTTACATTTGTTCATTGCTATTTAATTCATCATACTTCCTAACGGTATCATAAAGCATAATGTTTTAAATCCATGAGTTCTGTCATATTTTTCAAAACTTGGTTAGATTTGTTTTATTGTCTAACCATGCTTTCACCGTACCTCTAACCCATTCACATTATAATGTTCAGTAATAAAGCATCTGATATCAAACCACCAATTCTTTCTAAACTCTTTTTTTTTTCTTTATAAATATGCTGTGAAATATATTTACTTTAGTTGTTTTTGTTTTTTTATACTAAGACACAATCAATTCATCCTGATTGTTTGTTGTTATTCCTGTTACAGAATAATCTCAGATGTCATACATTTCAGTTATTGTTCATTTTGTTGAATTCATGATTTATTAAGATTTTTTGATCTTAAAGGATAAATTTCAATGATTTCGTTAACATTTCTGTTACTTTACCTATGTTAATACATTAATTAAATTGGTAGTGTGATATGTCTAGCGAAGATTACTGTATTATAATCAGACTGATGAACAATACTAATGGCAAGAGTTACTATACAAAACTAAATAGATCTCATAGAATGTACGAATAAAAGGACATTGTTAAAGGGATAGGTTTGAACTTAGTAACTCAAATGTTAATAATCAAAATTATTTAAATAATTCATGGTATAATAATCCTAATAAATATGTTCTTTAAAACACTTAATCCTTTTGATAAATTTTTATAATCCAATGAGAAGACGAAGGTTTTTAGAATTATGTAATATGATTTGCGCAATACATTTCGAATAATCTGATCACACATAAACTTGTTAAGACATTTTTATATGAAAACCAAAAAGGTCAACTAGACAGACTAAAGGTCTAGTTGACCTTTCAATTCAAATATGAGTTAATATACTCAGCTCTATTGTCCAAACTAACTGCTAATTGTACTACTCAACTGTGTAAAGTGAATTCCAATCTGTAACAACATATCGAACTGAAATTCGAATGCGTCAATTCACTTAATGTTCTACATTGTTATTACTATGAAGCAGTATTTTTGTTTCTTTATATCAAGTTATAGATTTTTGATATTTTATTAATATTTTAGATTTATTATTACCGATCGTTCACAAAATATGGACGTCTTTAATGAAACGATTTCATGATAATCATGCTATAGTTGTTGAAAAAGTAAGTTTTGTAACCAATTTAAAATGATTTTTTCTTAACAAATGAGGTTACGTACTAATCAAAAGGGGTAAGGAAGAACAAAATTTAAGGGTCAGATAATAGTCCAATTGACAGATATGAAGAAAAACGACAAAACAACAAAGGTCACAATAATAGACTGAATAATAATCAAGAAAACTTGTAAAAGGTAATAATAATAAATGATTAGAGTTTAAAGTGCAAAATGTAATAATAAAAGTGCATTAAAAAAAACACCTAGAAACATACCCATTAAGGGAATTAGGGCCAGGGTAGGATGAGAGGTTGGACAGATCGTTTCTGCACGCAAAGTTCAGGCTTTAGTTTGTTGATTAGTACGTAACCTCATTTGTTATTTATTGTCGAATCCATTTTTGTGATACAATCCATTCTATCCTTCTATAGACATGATTTTTTCTTCTTTATATATTTTCATTTTTATTCATATTAATCTGCATCACATCGACTTAGTATGATAATACTTGAGATCAAACAAATAAATACATACCTTTCGACATAATTCGGCTTGATTTTCTAGGGATTTACATGCTATTGGTTGAAAATATGATCTTATCATCTAGGAGACAAAAAATGTATATTCGTGAATAAGTGTACACATTCCATAATAGGCTTTAGTCAATAAAGTTACTTTTTCATTCTCGATCTTTTCATTCAAGTAATTGATTTGAATTTACATATGGAAGTTTTTATATCAGTATCAAAATTAGACATCGCACTTACATAACAAAGCACAATTTAACTGTTAAATATATTGTTTTGAGTAGTCGTCCATTTTCGAACTATTATGTTAAGTTGGATTGATGGCGAAGTAAATTTCTACTGTAGGTCAGTAACTTTTATTCGTATCTTATATTACTAATAACAATTATAGAATCCTACCACTCTGTGTACTGTACATTACTATAGCTATTTTCCTTTTAACTCGATCATGGTACACACCAAATTATAAAGCTAATTTTATTTATTATCTAATTGATCACTTAATTTCTTCAGTTTGTGGTAATTATGATGTGTACACAATTCAAGAAAAGAGAAGAAAATATTCAATTGACTGTTTATTTATATCTACGTCAACGGTTTATCGAAATTTCATGATTGATGCTAATTGAATCCCTAAAATCACCACAGAAAGTATAAAAGGGATTAAACATGTATGAAATATACATTTGTTGATTTAGTCGAATCGTTTACGTATAATGTCTTAGTGAACATTTTTAATTATTTTCAGGGTCGTGTCCAACGGAGATTGGTAGTAATCAACTCTTGTTAATTGTAATTATTAACAGTTTACTTATCGAACTCAACTATTTCAACATTTTTACATGTTGCAAATTATACCTAGATTGTTAGATTTTTTTTCTTTAATAAAAATAGTTAAATAACACTGTTAAAACCACCACATTCCGTCGAAATGTTCGATTTGGACAATTTATTAGTGTCTTAAACTCCATGGTAAACGTAGGTGAATGTTCCAAACATAAATGAGGTTACAATTAGTTGTATTGTTGCATTAAATCTGCTGAAAGACAACTCCATATATACCATCAAGTATAATGCTTCTTACTTTAGGTTTAAATGATCATTCATTGAAAATGTGGTATTTCAAAATAAAAACATTACAGTCTGTAGGGACTCATAGTTTCCAACGTTAACGATATGGTTATCCTTTAAAATTTAAAATTCATATTTTTCCATCACACTTTATCTGCGTCGTTTATTACAGGCATTCGACCTCTTGACTGTATTGTCTAAAGTTGCTGGAAACTTTATTCGACAACGTGCATCGTCAGAGATAATTCCTCCTTTGGTGTTATTTTTAACACGTGGTGCCACTGTAAGGTTAGTAGCCCTGTCCTTATCATGTATTTGATGTTAACTATTTAATCTGAATCTTTATAATACAATTGCTAGTTAAATGCAAATTATAAGTGATAATTTTTTATTTCTTAAATATATACTTGGTTAACCAGCAGTTCTGTTTGGTCAAACTTATTAGGCCGGAATTCAGGTATGGATTCTGTAAGAAAATTATATATTCATCTAATTCAGTTTAATGATCATTCTGTTAGCATTTATTATAGTGTTCTATCACACAACTTTTTCACCATCATATTCTCCAAAATATCCTGACTTCTTCCCTTACGAATATCTGCATGTTGAGTTTCCACTTCAGATGGTTTGTTTTCTCTGCTTGTTTTGTAGTGCGTCGGCATCAAAGTCATACAAATACCTTACATCTTATCGTGTACAAAAACGATTACTTAAAGAGATCGGACCGCTTTGTATACAAGTAAGCTGATATATCCTCCTTTTTATCCATGAATCATATTTAATTTTATTTAGATGGGATTATTATCACAATCACTAAGACCTGTGATCAATGTACTTGTCATGTATTTAGATAATTCACAACCGGAAGGACTACAACAGGTATGATGTCTTTATTATTTTAGTGTTGTCTTATCAATTTTTCATTCCATCTCTTAGTTAATATGCTTCTACTTTTATCGACAGACCGCTGTACAAGTCAACTGTGCTTTTATTTTTATTTATTGAGCTTAAAAAAATAGTTGACACAATCATTCTAAGCGACACATCGTTCATCATTAATTTAGAAGAAAAATATTGAAATAATAACCAAGTAGATTTATAAAATTTATAATCCAAGCGAATGATTCTTATGATACGTCCTCTCAACAGAGTAGTTCAATCCTTCCGGTTTCATTGGTGTGCTGAATATCACCATGAGTATCTACTTTACACAAGTCACAAATAATCATTCTATTTGTCAATTTATTTGCTTAGTTTGTAGAAAATGTGACTAGATTTCTATTGAACTGTCATACCTTCGTCACTTTCTACGACGATATCAGTCCGTAGTGGATCAACTGTACTGGAAAACACATCGATTTTTCAGGTCAAATGAAATATATATCAATCTTAAGAATTATTCAACTGTTATTAACAATCATTGACAAAATTTTACCGAATATCATCATCATAATCATCCATAGTCATTCTCCATTCCATATTAAAAAAAGTAATTCCTAGAGCACTCTAAGCTTCCTTTCTGTAACTTCATAACTACACTAGAATTTTATAAATAAGTTATTCATGTATAACCAGTGAAAGTAAAATATAATTGGGCGATAAGCGAAAAAAACAACAGATGTTCAGCTATGTGAAATGTATAAGCCAGTATGTCTTATTGTAAACTCCCTCTACTACTGATTTCATCGTGCTGTACACTGAATCCCAGTGTTAATGAACAGTTTTCTGTCTCTATGATCTAGCTCTCAGTTGTCAGTCGGATGTTGTGTGTGTGCGTACTATGGGGTTATCTAGTGTCTTAATCTGGTGTATCCGGTTATAGTATTCAGTTGAATGTCATCATATTTCATAACAGAGGTTATATCTGTTAGTATTTTCCTCATTACAACATTACTTTTGGTCATTCTTTTGAAGAAATGAAAAAAGGGTTACATGTTTTCAGGCGATATCACTCATATTTCTCAGTTATTTACTATTGTGTTTCTCGTGAGATTTAGGATATACCTAAATATGTGAATAACTAGTAATTCTCTCTTTCTCAATTGATAAATTATCCAGTCTACAACCAATCCAATCCACAGTCAAGTAAAGTTTTCCACCAGAATACTGGTTATGCGTTTTGAATGATTATGTGTTTTGAATATAGACTTTGCCTTGAATTAACATCAGTTGAAAAACTAGGGAATATTAGACAACGGTTTTCGAAAGTCTCAAAGCAATATCCACCCACAAACCTATATAGTATTATGTTAAGAACCTTCAAATTTTGTGGTGATCATTATGCTTCATTGATCACTGAGTTAAAATCTAGCGATCCACATTTTCAATTCACAATATGTTGTAAAGTTCATTAGAACAACGCACTCATTTTCGAGTCGTTAGATGACGATCTTGACTTCTCGGAATATTTACGTACGAGTACTTAGAAATAAATGGATTTTTCTACCATAAATGGTAATTCGGTTAAGTTAAAGTTTACATTCAAGATGATAAAATTAGTCATAACAGTTAACTGTTAGTACTGACGAATACGAAAAATGACCCATTCAGTATGTTCTGATAAGTAAAATATGCATTAACCGATAAAACAGCAGCTAGTTCACATATTAATCGAAGAGTCAAACGGTAAAATCTTGGTTATTGATAAGTAATATAGTTACCATACATAAACCCCACATATAGTGCAACAATTATCCCATGTCATCGCTGGTTATTATAAGGATCCATCTTGATATTAGTCGCTAGTCAGTACTTCGTTGTAAAATTGGATGTATTTTTTTTACTGTAGCCTTATATTTTCAGCTGTAGTTACGTGTTTTGCACGTTTTAACTGCGTTACTTAGGTATCTTGACAACTTTTTAAAAAGAGAAAAAGGACTACTTATAATATGTAGTCTACTATTATTTATTATCATGGTTTAATTCGAAGCATTGTTTACAGGTAGTGGGATCACCAGCTGAGTAATGCTCACTTTAGACGTAGAGTACTAGGTAGTAACACAAAGTGAACTGGTAAAACTATGGACCGTCACTGATTTGAAATCAAGGATTAATTACATTACATGAACTCACTTGCCTTTTTTTATCTGACCCACTTTAGAAGTTACAAACTTTCCTGCTGTAAGTCTATACAACAGATTTTTACTAAAATGTGATGAAATTCTTTGCAATTGCACCTATTTTCCACCGTCTTAATTTTCAGTTAAGTATTATTTCCTACTTTCCTTTTTTAAAGTCTAATTTGTTTATTTCAACTTTGTCTTAGATTTCTATCTTCATCTTCATTTGCTTGTTATCTTTTTAAATTTAAAAAATCCGTCATGAAGCTTATCTAAACATTTTAAGTAGAATCGTTGAGGAATGTCTACTACTATTACTACAGAAGGTCACTCGAGATCCAAATCGTTCAAAGGTAGCATCTTGGAGTTAAAATCTGACTGACTCGGGTTTGAATCTCACAGGGGACATTAGTTCCCTTAAGATTATAAGTGTCTGGCTGACGAGTGTCAAGTAGGATGCGACCGAGGTTCAGGATTTCATGTTGACTATATCCGATCACCAAGTATCTTAACACAGTGCACTCAGTGTTGAGTCGCTTTTATTAGTGATCGCATTACAACTTGGTTGATAGAATTCAATCAGCATTTAAAGAATTAGACAAACACGATATCGGTCATTTCTTAACGATCATTTAATTGTCTATCACTTTAATTTAAGTCAGATATTAGAATTCTGTGTGACTAAAACCATTAGTGTTTATTTTATAGTAGAGTTGTAATTCCGTAAAGTAAGTGAGCATCCAAGTTGTCAAGGGCATACTTAAGTGATGTCTCATCATTAGTGCAACTATCTCTTAGCAAATAACCTCGGACCCTCGAAAGATTCTGTGATAGTAATTTGTGCAAGTAATAATTTATTGTTGTATATGTTGACATCGGTTAAAGGAAATTTAATCATCTTACTGCTGAGAATGATTGATTTGTTATGGAGGAGTTGCGTTTTGGAATCACTGATAGGTTGAACGTTGAAGCTTTTATTGTCCTTCTAGACAATATAAGCGCAAACTCCAGATAGAATAACTCAAATAGCTCACTTCTATCTGTTTATGTTAATGATATTGTTTTTAAGTTTAAAAAAGAATCTAATTTTACTATTTTCAAAGTTAATTTTTTTACCCACTCATTTTTAAATAGGCTTCTATGTCGAGTATAGAAATTATATGGACTCTTGACCCTGGAAGTACATGGGCTCTTCTTATTAATCATCTTTCTGATTCAGATATACAATGCATATATTCTCAGAGATTAATTAAACCATTTGAGATTATACATGTAAGTACAATCTTCTCATTGATATGTATGTGCGTAACAAAACACTGCTTTATAGAATAGGTAGATTGTGGGCAACGAAGGTATCCAGGACACATGTTTAATCTCGTCAGCTAGATGTACCTATATGTCAGTGCTGATGTTCTTAATGGGACCCGAACTTAATATCTCTCTCTTGAAATGACAGTGCATTATCTAATGGGCTGCTAAGTCCAGATAACCACTAACTTGTTCTACAAGTATATTCTGTGTGTGTGTCGTTATTAATAATAGTTTAAATTATCCCATTGTTACTATTTGAAACTGAGTTTTGATCGTCATTTATTGGTATTTGTACATTCTATACAGATTGCCTTGATACACAGCCATCTTGTCACAAGTTTCGTAGAATAGGTGGATTGAGGCGGTCCACACACAATTCACATATGATAACAAAGATTGATATAAAGTCAGTCCTCAAAATTAACAACAAGATAATTAAAAGCAGTACTAGTGATGATTTAATCATGCTTTGTCAAAACAACGGCCATGTTAAATAAATTTTTTATCACCGTCATATTCAGTTTACAGGTTATAATCGGTTATTATATTGCAAGTCAGTTGGATTTGGAGCTTTTGACCATCAGATCTTGACTCGGTGATTTAAACGTGACGCGAAGCTCAAAACTCCTAGGTTCCACCTATGTCATGGTCATAAGTGCCTACTTCTAGGAGAACCCCTCAGTGCGGTAAACGAGATTTCTGGTGATCTGTAGTTTCCATCATTTTGCCACTGAATATCAACTGCTAGCGATTCCTCTGAAGAAAATTTATCAGCAGTTACTCAACTTATACTAAATTTGTAAAGAGTAAATGATGAAGTAGGATAGGTTTAATTCTCTGTATGGTGTTACGACTGACCACAAATCAAACTCATTTTTAATCATTCTGATCAAGTAAACTACAACCGTCAGAACAATTCTAAATACCCAGGATATTTCATCAATTCCTCTGGGTGATTCGGGGCTACTATCTATCAAAATAATAATGTTTCGTCAAGAGGAAGTTAGAACCTCTCTTTTGTAAACATGTAGCTAGAAATTCCAAAGTTTTGTTTTTCTATGTACTGAACATTTACTACTCTATCCATATCCTGATACTCGTCTACATTCATTTTGTAATAGTTTTTCTCTCTTCAAATCACGGACAATATATTTTCAGATAAATAAACTAATATTGTCTTTTAGTCATCAAACCTAAGACTTTACATGTTACCCGTTATCTCGACTGTCGGGGTTACATAGAGAACAGTTGAAACTGTTGGTAATGTTGAAGTTTAATAATTATGCGATTGTATGACATGGATTCATAAACATCAGTTTTCTCTTACATTAAAATTATGTTTTATACTATTGCAAAAGACATAACACCTAGATTTGAATCTTATTTTGTAATGTATTCAATTGATTCAATCTCTTAAACGTCTTTACTCTACATTTTCACCTGTTATACACACATAATTGCTTCTAGTTTACTAAGTAATTAGAAATTTAGAACACATTTCTTTCTGCTATTGATTTATTAAAACAGCTATTCATTGGATTAATTTCGCGTTTTTGTAACCGACAGTAAAATAAAGTGAATAATTTATGAAATGTAAAGGAGCAAACCACCTTACATTTCCTACCTTTATTACAAACTATGAGTAAAGCGGTGGCTTGCTGAATAAGGCTCTCACCTTATAACCTTTAGGTTGCCCGCTCTAATTCCATTCTTTCATTTTCAATTCGTTTACCTGATTGCGTAAGAATAGTTTTTTTCTAACAATAATGTACTTGGTAAATGAGTTTCATTATTTAAGAAAAATATATTTCAGTAGAGGTTTTTTGTGGATATTATAGTAATTTTAATAGTTGAGATCATGAATCAATCAAAGCTAGACCACCATGGAAAACCTGGAAGCACTGGATGGCCATTTCGTCCTATTGTGGGACTCTTCAGCAATGTGCATCCCGCCTCGCCCAAACATTTCAAATACATATATGTAATGCTTTATATAGCTATGTATATAGCTTTTCGGTATATTTAATAATGAATTTAAACGTTATTTACCACTTTCATAACAGGTTTATCATCATCCAATTGATAGACACAAAGATTTAAATTTGAAACTTCAGAATATATCTATTCTTTTAAACAAACTTCATGAAATCTCTGGTGAAATTACTAAATGAGCCAAGTTTTTTTCCTTTTATGTATATCCCATTATTTTTTTACTACAAAAGAAAACCTGTATCTTCCCTAAAGTTTATATCGAATGTATAACTGTTGAATACTTCTTCAAACTTCTCTTTTTGTGCAAATACATTTTGTAGAATTTTTAAAAAAAAATAAAGATAATTGTTCTTGTGTCCATAATAATTCATCCGTCAAATATTATTGATCATTGATAATAGTTCGCGGTAATTCTAAAGTTTTTTGTTATATCTTGTGCTATGTGTCCCTGTCAATGTATTACGTAATGATACCACCAATTAGAGAACAGTGAATTGTCTATTAGACCAATGACGCATAAAACCCGTACTAGCAGCCTAGAGTCCTTATCTCTCTTGCTTTCCGCCTAACCCAGTCTGTTAAGTCCAGAACACCAATCTCAGCCTCTGCAATATGAACCATTTATTTCAGACATGCTGGGTTTATATACCAATCAAACAGACCACATCGTACCATAAAATAGGAAACAACATTTGTACAAGATTTGGCCAAATGTGGTTGTGAATATGGGAGGTAGTGATTAATAGACAGGGAATAATTCAAGAATGGAAAATGGTATAATGACAGTTCATAGGTCAAAACAAAGCTCATAATAACAGGGACATGAATATGAACAGTTTAGTTACATGACAATTATACGATAAAAATATACTCATAGTATTGGTCCATGAATGGATCCCAAAACCTACCATTCATTATTCTTATTGGGATATAAAAGTTTTCTTTTCTTTTTAAAGGAGACATTATTGTCATGATAAGTGGTTTATTATAAAAATATTCTATTCGATATCTACTAGAAAGTCTGATTTTAATAAAAATAATAATAACACAAGTTATATAATTATCATCTGTTTCATAAAACTGTTCATCTTTTAAGCTGATGGTTGGTTCAAGTCATATATGTTTGTTTCATGAATTTTAAATCTCTATAATATTTGATAATTAGGTTACATTTTGTATTGGGCATTTAGACATCATATTCACTCAAGTGATATGTAATATTACAATGGTACTTCTCGAAGTATAACGTTTTACAATTCTTACACACTTCTTACAATAACATGTATCTGTATATGTAAAAAAAAACTTAGACTTTACTTTAGGAATGTTTCGATTAATCTTTCAAACGAATGAGTAACTTATATAAGTGAATTTCTAAAACAAACTACTACAAGAATAAGAAGTTGATGATCAAAATATAATTAGTCCACTTTTGTTCTAATTCAGATTAATAATACATCTGATGATAATTTACTTCTGTTTCTGAATTTGATTAACCGGTAAGTATTAAAATTCGAAGATGACCTCTCCACATTTACGTTAAAAAGATGGGTTTAAGATATTATGAAGTTCATTCACCTCATAGATATACCGTTTCTAAGTCAATCATCAAAATTCAAACCAAGTGAGTGTTTTATTTGATTAGCATAAGGTATTCGGCATAACGTTTCGCTGTATTTATTTCTAGGTATTTCGTTACGGTAGAGAATATGCTACGTAAATTATGCGGTTAAAGAAAAAACAAATCTATCCCTTATATTCACTTGTAAATATACAAAAATATGTACAGAAGTCTTTAAAGTAGTGTCTAACTCCAACTTACTTTCATTCGAGGAATTTTACAACCAGTTTTACATCTACGAAATCTTTTCATCACGAAATATATTTGATATACAGGCCCCATTGTAATCGCTTTTTTTATTCCTCCAATAGACAGACTAGGGGAGAAATATTCTAATCACCCCTGTGGGTCATTTATGTTTGCAATAATTTGTTTCATAAGTAGGCCGTGAGCTTTTTCAAAATATGTGAGGTAAGGATCATGAGAACTGGTAAAGGAAAGTGTTCGAAAAGTATGAGCGTTCAGAAAGTAACGATGCGTTATTCGTATATTTAGCATGGAACTTGAACATACAGATTGACATTGATTTGAATAATGGGAACTTTAGGCTATCACTAAAATCTGTACTGAAATGAAAAAAATTGGTTTCTGTAAGTAATAGTCGTCATGGTGCTTGAAAACACTACATTTTAAACAGAACCATTTCGGTCTCGTTCGTCCATTCAAAAGTGACTGGTTACTGAATGTTGAAAGGTAAGTAGCTTCATATTGTTACCGATTAGTCTTAGGCAGAAGTTGATCTAACACAGATTAATTCCCAGACATAAATTTTATCGATCGACACCCCCATTGTCGTTTCTGCCTTTGTGATTGTTATAATTGCTATCTAGGGTCCCTCACAAATCCCATCGGAATTTTCGCGAAACGAATCGCAATTTATGAATACGCAGATTCCACACTGTAGTTGCAGGTAGATAACAACGTATTTTTTAATTTTATTTGATCACATTGATATTGGTACAAGGAGGCACTAAATATATATGCGCCACACAAATGTCATTTGATTTGTGCAAGGGCTGTGATACTGCCCGGGTGCCCAAACCGAAGCAGGATAACAACGTATACTGGTTAGTGCTATCACTGACCAGTCCTAATGAAACGTATTGCACTTGTGAGCTGACAAACGTGCGATGAAAACTCAGTGTTGAAAGGTCAACAATCTTTTCTGAAGATTATCATTTGTTACGCGCAACACTTGAGTTAAGTTCAGCCAATACTAACTTTCAGAGCACTCCAAGTAAGATGCGTGAAACCTTTTTTAATGTCTGTGATATATATATATATATATATATATATATATATATATATATATATATATATATATATATATATATATATATATATATATATATATATATATATATAAGAAGCTTTTATAACCTTTAAATGAATTCAATTGAATAAAGAATGGAATATAAATCCTGCTCAACTTTGAAACCTTTATTAATGTCTGTGATATATATATATATATATATATATATATAAGAAGCTTTTATAACCTTTAAATGAATTCAATTGAATAAAGAATGGAATATAAATCCTGCTCAACTTTGGATATACCCTGTTGACGTTAAGAAAATGCAGGAGTAGGAATCCCACTTTGTTTCGGAAAATCACATTTCAAACACATGTTTATCCAGGCAGTTGGAGTGTTATTTGTTATATTCGATATCCCAGACTCCGGTATAACTGAGGTAACATCACTTACCAGATTAACAACCCTCAAACATTTGCGTCCAAAGGTTAAGTAAGTTCATTGATAACTTACAGCTGTGTCTGGAATTTCGTGTTCCCTAGGGCTGACACAGTTCTCCTCGGGACTTCGTCATCACATACAATTTGCAGCTTTAAAAACAGTTTCCTAACGTCTCTTGCTAAGATTCCCTTACTTGTCCACAACTCCGTCCTCCATAAAAACTAATCCCCTAAAGTAGTTCTTAAGATGCTTGTTTTCCCCTGAGAAGTCAGAACGTATCATCATCAAGTGACCTTCATTTATACTGCTCTCCAATAGAAGAATAAAACTTAGTCTCCAGACCATAGGACCTAAGATATCCCAGTCAACTAGTTCACTTGTCTACTCACTCATAACGATATAATTGAACTGCAACCTGTCACGTTAAAACAGCTTTGCCGTCATTATCATAAAAGTTTTCAGGTCGTTTATATTAAAAACGAGTTTTTTGATATGTCAACCTTCTATCATGAAAGTTCCAGTGTACTAATCTGTTAAGTGCTGTTAATATATAATGTAACTTAATACACCACGAATACAATAAATCCCAGTTCTTGTCGATTGACTAGCAGCCGGGGTATTGAAATATTAGATTACTTTATAATATAAATCACTACGTATATGATCCTGTGTCCAAGCTCAAAAAGATGCCCCTTTCATCCGCATTTAGTAGAATGTAAATTCATTAGCGCTCACACTAGACATTTCGAGTATTTGCAATTTAAAAGTAACTTCATAGTACACCGTATCACTTTCAATAAAGTTACCAAATCACTGTTACCAGATTGCTTTCTATAATATTAAAGATACTATATATGTTTGTTCGACAAAGCCTTTACACGTACCACCTTTATAATCGAAGTATGCCTACCCAATGAAACAGAAGTCAGAGATGAAGTGGTTCGATGGCATATTTGAAAGACTCGCGATTTATCGGGCGGCATCTGATCTAAGCTGACTGTTGCAAGGGATGCGTAATATAACGTTCCCACTCGCGATCTGGTGTGGATGCTTGGCCAAGCGCCTCCAGCTAGGTGTGTCTAGTAAAGCTAATTAGGTCAGCATCAATGTTGAGATCTTGCAGAACTATTTATTCCGGGGATTTACTTACCGCTACAATATGATATATTGTAAACAAGAAACGTTGGACAGATTCACTGTTATTTTGCGTTTCAGGGTCTGTGTCTGTCCGAACGATTTGGAATGTCTTGAGACAAAAATAGTCTAAACAACTATTCAATAACATGATAAGTCTGGACACGTTTGATGTGCAAAAAAATGATTGTTATCTGTGTTACTTTCCTTTTCCCAAAATTTTTAAAGCTGTTTTTTCATTGTATCTGAAACTCCCAAGTAAATAGACGATAGTCAAGTAAATATATGGAGCTGTTATGTAATTACTTTAAAACCGAAGTTGGATTTCATTCTACGAGCATAAAGACCCTGGTCAAAACATTTGTAATACACCATGGACATCTTAATAAACATATCAAAATGCCCATAATTATTTTGGTTTGTACCACCTCTCATACCCAGAAGCAAACATTCGTTAGAAACATACAGTGTCATTAAAAAGTTCGGTCTATCATCTCTTGAATAAATCGAGAACGGATTGACCACTTTTAAAACAAACTGAACACATTAATATCCATGAATAAGGCTGTTTAAAAACTAGTCACTACCGCATGGTCACTGAGTTTTTATGTTTCTGATTATTCTGCTCAGTCTGCGTGTATCTATAAACTCTACGTCTGTACAGAAAAATTATTTGGAGCGTTAGTTGTTCTCAAAGTTATACTCCCGAATTCCACAATTAAATGCACCAGACGATTTGTCAGGTTACCTGATAGATACGAACAAAGGGCAGTGTTTTCAGTTTTCAAAAAAGTTAACCTTACTAATATTAACGTCTCATCGTTGCAATTGACCAGGTATGAAATACTAAGCAACATAGATGTCTCAAAAAGCCCGGGTAATACTCTTATAACTTTTGCTCTGTTATTTATATCA